GAAGGGTTAAGACCATAGAGTAAGATTCCCTGCCACATCCCCTCACCTTGGGAGGAAGGAATACCAAACTCTTCATTCTCCCACTTTTCACCATTATTCCACCATGTGAACCCTTCCAGCAAGGAGATCTAAGCTGGACGCATGGATGCTGGATGCTTAAGCAAGCCATCTTTGTGTTTCTGTACAAATAATTTAGAAACATTTAGCTTTTTGGAACTAATCTAAGTTTTGCTGCTTGTCTTTTCTTGCTGTTATGTGGAAAAGCACATGAATCTGATGTTTGAAGAGTTTGTAAGTACAGAGGTACCTCGGGTTAAGTACTTAATTTGTTCCAGAAGTCCGTACTTAACCTGAAACTGTTCTTAACCTGAAGCACCACTTTAGCTAATGGAGCCTCCTGCTGCCGCCGCGCTGCTGGAGCACAATTTCTGTTCTCATCCTAAAGCAAAGTTCTTAACCCGAGGTACTATTTCTGAGTTAGTGGAGTCTGTAACCTGAAGCGTATGTAACCTGAGGTACCACTGTAAACCAGCTTTAACTTACCAAACGTGTGGTCTCCTGCTATGCTAAGGGAAGTGGGGAACTTGGGAAGCAACTTAGAAGGGGATATTTTAAATGTCTAACAACTTTTATTTCCACACTTTACTTTTCAGAATGTTTTGTGATTTTAAATATTTGCTGGGCCCCCAGAGTACTTGCCCCAATTCTGAGAAAAATGAGACAGCCTCGTGGGCCTAAAGGTTCACTATCCCTGCTTTAATTGGAATTTAGTTCCTTCTAAAACAAGTTTAATGCCATTCAATTTAGCAAGTGAGCAGCCTACTAATAGAACCTCAAACCAACTAGACAGAGCCTCAGTTTATTGGCCCTAATTACCCATTGCCTCACCCAGATTAGCTGAATAGGAGAAGTAGAGCTGTGTGTCATCCACATATTGATGATACCTCGGTCCAAATCTCTACAGATGTCTAATAATATGGAGGATAAAACAGAGTCCTGTGGAACACCAAAGGCCAGAGCAATTGTAATTTCCACCAGCACCACCTTCTGGAATTGACCATTCAAGTAGGAGGAGAACCACCGCAATGCAGAACCTTCAAACCTTAATTCAGTAAGTCTATCCATAAGGATGCTGCTATTGCTGGTACTGAAAACCACTGAGAGTTCCAAGAGAATCAACAGGGTCATCTGCTTCGTGTTCTTCTTTTGGCATCTCACAGGCTGACCGAAGCAGTTTCCCTTCCCAAACCAGGCATATAGTCCAACTGAAATAGATCCAGAAAACCTGTTTCACCCAAGAGTGCCTGGAGTTGGTTGGCAGTTGTATGGAATCAGAAAACTTTGCACTGGAATTATAGAAGATAAGAAAATGGGATTCTCTTCACACACACACACACACACATCTTGTTGTACTATCTTTACTGGAACCATCTAAAAGTCACCAAGCAATGAACAAGCTTTTGAGTTTCCCTGGCATCTTCTTCAGACTGAATATTGCACAGTAAGAAAAAAGAGAAGCAAGTACCACACAGAGACAAGGATTAAAACACAAAAAGACCAAAGCTGTGTGTGTGTTTTTAAAAATATACATGCATGAGTATACACTAAAGCATTCTTCTGCAGTGACTCCTCATGACCTTATTTTAGAAACTGGGAAGACAAAATGTGTAAAGGGGTGTTTATGAGACAAAAAAAGCACCCTTTAAGCCTTCTTCACAGTGAAAAGAATAAGCTTGGTGACAAGGGCTGAATGGTGAGCTCCACCCCCCCCCCCAAAAAAGCAGCTTCCCCCCCACCATCACTGCCACCCCCATCACAACTCTTACAGGGGGAGCCTTCCCTATATCTGGCCGCTCCCTGCATGATTCTGATCCCTGATCACCCCAGGACAGTTCTACATCACATGGGGAGTCCATAGGCTCCCTGCTGCTGCAGTTATGATGAACATGGTGGCGATATCAGCAGTAGGAATAGGAAGAGCCAAGTGACTTGGTAGGTGGGGCTAAATATGCAGACCCACAGCCCACCAACCCAGGGCCGTCTTAGGCATATCCGGCGCTGTGGTTCAAAGATCCCTCCGGCACCCCAACCCCGTTTCCCAGAGTTGTCAAACTTTTCCCAAGCCTCTGCAGGGATTGCTCTTCTCCCACAGAGGCTTGGGAAGGAAGTTGCGTGCCCGCCAGCCATATGCTTGATGGGGCACAGCTGGCGAGCGTGCAGGGAAAGGGGAGGCCTCCGGCAAAGCCGCGCAGCTCCCCCACTCGCTGGGGCGCCCCAAGAGGCCATCGCCCTGGCACAACGCGCCAGTAAGCCCAATAGGAAAGGTGGCTCTGCACCCACCTCCCATACCTGCTTCAGGTGAGTAATGTGTGAAAAGAGAGTAATGCCCACAAATGTGGAGAACAGTCCAAAAGATACTTGGATAAATCCTTACCTGATTCAGATGCCTAAAAACATGGTTCTAAACTACACCCCCCCAAAAAAAAATATTTAGTTTGCATTGCTTCAAAATTAAGATTTGAGAATGCCCTCTTGAGTGAAAGAAAATATCTACAAGTAACCTTCAGACAACATTTCTAATTTACAAGCTGTGCAAGTTATAAAATATCTGACCAGTAATAAATCAAAAAATCTGGTAACCAGATTACAGGAAATCACAGAAAAATCCTCAGACCGAGTTCCAAGTGGAAGTATAGTGGAAGGTGAACGGAGCAACAAAAAATAAAACTGGCATTGTTGCACCTCAGTATCATTTATCTTCCCTCGAGGCAAGAGCCTGGCTGGCAGCCCTGAAGCTTTGGTTTAAAATTTATGTATTTTGAACGGCAGAAGGGTAGTTATTTTATCTTCCTGATGACAGCTATTGCAGTGTTTGGACAAATCTGTTGCCCAGACATCTTGTTGCATTGGACTGCCACGCCTTTACCTTCTTCCATTGTGCTTGACTCTGCTTTAGATTTAGAAAAAAAGCAAAGGCCATGGGATATTGCATTTTTGAGGCTTTTTATTTCATGCAGGTACAACCTGCTCACTTTGTCCCATAAGCATTTCTAAAGATGGTCACGTTTAGTTAACTGCTCATTTTAGGAGTTTTCATGTAGTCGAATATCATAAGGATTTTACATCTCATCAGATTTAAGCTGTGTACACCTGGAAACTTTAGTTTACCCCTGACAGAGGTACAGTTCCCAGCACCCTTAACAAACTACAGTTTCCAGGATTCAGGGGCATTGTTTCATTCTCAGTTACATGGGCTTAGATATGCTAGAGCTCCTTTCTCCTTGAGAGTTGTCCTTGGAATAACTAGGAGGTGGAATCTGTGGAACATACTCTGTTGTAGTCATTGTTCATCAGCAAATGATTGCCCTTAATTTAATGGGCCAGCTACCAGGAAGGTCAGTTCAATTTTATGTTAAATACTTACTGGGAGATAAAATCCAACAGGTGCAATGTAATACCGGTAAAGAAAACTTTAATGTAGGAGCCAGAACAGGGAGGCAATTAACCATCTGAAATAGGAGTAATCTTTTTTTGTGGAGGGGATTATCTCTCCCTGTGTATGTGTACACACACACACACACACACCCCTACCTCTGAGCTGGTGGCACTTATCTCGCTTTGTATTTTGCTCTATGTTTAAGATTATGGTGCATTGCCTGGTTCTATTTTGATTTTATTTTGTTGACCATGATAAATTGATGATAAGGATTTATTATCCCCAGACCACACACCTCAGCAACTTAAAGGTAGCACACGAGCAGTTTTATATATGAAAACCTCCACAGCGGAAATGCACACAAAGCATATAAATTAATGCAAGTCATGATCATTTTAAACCCTGTATCTTACTCCTCCGGCACTTGATGAGAAAGTGATCCTGAGTTATGGGGGGGCGGGGAGGAGAGATGTAACTTGGTTTATGGCCAAACGTAACAACTTTATTTTGTTTTAATTAAGAGACAGCTTCCCTTTTACAATGGCAATTAAAATTACAAGCTTCTTTCAGATGGCCAGTTCAGAAAGAGACAATAGTTAGTATTGTATCATCAGCATACATAATGTTTGTGAAACAGAATTTTTGTTGGAAACAATTCCACAATTATTGATAAAAACAAAGGTAGTTGTGCCAATCCATGCACGGCAGGGAAAAATGCCCCCAAAACCCACAGTTGGACAATCTTTTTGTTAGGGACAACCAAGTAGCAAACTTTCAAATACAGTGGTACCTCGGGTTACAAATGCTTCAGGTTACATACGCTTCAGGTTACAGACTCCGCTAACCCAGAAATCGTTATTCCTCTAGAAAGTAAAACACACAAGCAACCAATGTAGAAAAATAATACTATTGGTGCTAATCTCTTACTGCTGTTGTTATTCCGTCATGTGTTCAGGGCAGGGATGCGGAACATCGTTGGACTTCAACTCCCATCAGCTCCAGCCAGCATAGTCAATGGTCAGGGATGATGGGAGTTGTAGTCCAGTGCCCCCTGGCGGTCACAAGTTCCCCATCCCTGATGTTAAGGGACTTGGCCCTTTTATTTTTCTCCTTCCAATACTGTATACAGAATGCCTGCAAGAGATATTACTACAGAGAGAGTTCTCTTTTCAGCAGAGCTGCCAACTCTTGTGACAAAGCGTGAGCCTTGTGGTTTCAGGGGTTTCCTAAGAAGTTGCAATACACTTTTTTTTATAAAAAAGGCATACAAATACAGGATCGTCTTTCTAAAGTAGGTAGAAACAACCGTAGGCTGTGCAAAACTGTCAAACAGAATTGTAGCAATGTTTGCAAACACAGTAAGCTAACAAACCCAATAGTGATTCTCAAGCCAATTCTGTGATGTTTAGATAACTGGTCTAAAGATTTCTGAGTATGTGGAATGATCGCCCTTGCACAGTTGAGCTGAGTCAGGCAAAAATGAAAATAAATAAATATATTCTTTCCCACAGGATGATCAAATTACAGGATGGAAAGTTAAGAGGGCCCTTATTTGCCCCCACCCATGACTCCCAATGATCCTACTCAAGGTAGGCTGAGTGAGGTCTGAGGGGTAAAACGTTTCCAGAATCCTTTGTGGGGCTGGTGGGGGGAGCAATGCGCTTTAAAGGTATAATATGTATGCAAAATGTTCTGCGTTATTTTAAATTTTGTCCTTAAAATTAAAAATGCATATAATCCAGCAGCATTTTTCAGGTGGAAAACTGGGCCAAAAATCTTTGAAGTTTTTTTGTGTGTGCGCACGCCATCTCAGCAGTCCAATACTTGTTGACACAGGAATATTTTTTCTATATGTAAGCAGCCTTCTTGACCATGTGTGTGTAGTCCCCTTTTTTGTGGAGAAACATTTGTGGGCATCAGCTTTCCGTGATGTTGACAGCAGCAATAATTGCTACAAGCTGCATCTGTCTATCACTCATTGGTTGTCTCAATGCCCCCTCCCCCCCCCCATTTCATTCAAGTTTCCCCAGGATGGCTGAGGCTGCTCATCAACTGGAGACAAAATTGAAAGTGAGCACCTCAGAAGTGAGATTTGAATGCAGCCTCCCTGGGTTAAAAATATTCTAAGCCTTCTCGTCTTCCTGTTACATTTTCAGTCCTGCTTACAGAAACAGCAGATCATGCAGTAAAACTGATTTTGGACTCCACCAGTTTAAGACGGCAGGTGGGGAATTCCTTGAATAAATCTCCCTCAAATTAAAAAGAAAAAGCAAGATAAACCTATTTGCGCATAGAAAACTAGATGTCTGGGAGACAGGTTTCCTAGCCCAGCTCTCTGTGTGACAGGATAGATTTCTGATTGCAGAGATTTCCTTTTTGCAAGGGGCAGCATACAAACACACACACACACACACACCATTCAATTAAAATTTTCCATATCAAATGAGTAATGCAAGAATGGAGAACCTCAGGACCAAGGAAAAGGGGGAAACACAGTCCTCTGCGCCTCTCTTCTCACTGGCTTTTGGAACCTCCTCAGGCCTCACCCTCCACAGATTCTGCTTTGCACCCCAAGTGCCTTTGCCTGGCTGGAATATGCCCTTGAACTCAGCTGGTGCCTCTTTTGTGTCTAGATGGAAGATAGAGGGTGTGAGAGTTTGGAGAAACTACCGTAGCCTAAGGTACAAAGGCAAACTCTATATGCATTGCTCCTGCTGAACCTCCTGCCCCACCCAGAAGGTTCCAGGTGGCCCCTGGAAAGTTAGCTAGAAGGGAATGTGGCCCTTGAGATGAAGAAAGGTCCTCTGCTTCTGGCATAACATTCAGATTGATGCTTCGTGTGGAACACGCCCTTCAGAGTCTGGGTTGCCACCAGAAACCATTTAAACAACCAGCCCCCAACTTTTCATTCTCTTAAAACAATAATCTTCCTGCTAATCAATGAGCAATCGCACCTTTGTGTGCTTATGCCTCGGTGAGCAAATTCAGGTAATTTCGGAGAAAGGTGGCACAGTCACTCAGGAGAAAATTAATTTAAAACCCCTTTTCAGAATGTTTCTTGAATCTCAGTGTCATAGCTTTTTTGCTTTTGCATATGCCTCATTAAGTAAAATCATCATCAATATTTTTGTGTGTGTCATAATGTCCTCCTTTTAATTCCTGCTTATCTTTCAGGAGAAGCCCTTCTCAGCAGCATTAGTGACTCTCATAACAAGAGACTGGATGTTTCCCTACAGCTTCAGTTGAATTCTTGTACACGCAACAAGAATATACCTCGATCTGGCTCAGCTAAGGCCTGCCTGTTGCGAAATCCTTCCTCCACTCCCTTTTTTACAGCTTCTTCTCCCCAGCCACCATGCAACAAACAGCGGCAGCGCGCAAGAAGCTGGCATGATCTACAATAACCAGTTAGAGGGAGCAGGACTTGGGAGTGGGGGGAAGGGAAGGGGATGGGCAGACCTCAGCCTCACTACACTAGAGCCATTGTCTGCTGAACCTCGAAGAAAAAAAAAAGCATGGCGCATGAGGGTGCAAGGGGTTGCAGCAGCAAACGGCAAAGGCAGCAGGAGGAGGCCGCCAGTCAGGAGATGGGGGGCTGGATGGGTGGGTGGGTTGAAGGTGAGGAAATCTTCCTAATGTGATCAATCGGGAGAGGTTGCTCAACGACAACGGAAATCCATAAAAGAGCAAGATGTGTGCAGTCTTTTAGGGTAAATGAACAACATAAGCATGACTGGAAGCAGCCGGCAGAGACACCCCTCAGTCAGGGAAACAGAAGCACAAGGCGAAGCCATCAATGGTCGTTTTTTACAAGGCTTCTTTCTGCGCTCAAGCATATTGTTCCATCGCTTCCTCACACAACTTCCTGATCATTTCAGGGAAATGCTTTTCAGAAACGGGATGGTCCTTCGTATTTTTTTTTTCATGCCTGGCTCAGGGGTACTGGAATGATTATGCCTCAGCCAGCTGCAAGAGAATCTGTGATGCTTCCTTGTTTTTATAGATACTTAAAATAGAGTATCCAAAATTACAAACCGATTCCCCCCACCCCAAACCCCACCCACGTCTGGCAACATGACTTGTCATCCCCACCCCCTAAGTAAGCTAGGGTGTATCTGCCTCCCCACCCGGCCAGGTAATATCTGGCCAGCCGGGCGGTACTTTTACCCTTAGTCGTTAATTTAAACGGTGCCTGCGTTTCACTCCAAGTGAGCAGCAGCCATTGTTTGCCCTTTTGGATGAAAGAGGAAGCACAAAAAGGTAGCTCGCAACCTTCCTTCCATGCAGGTCATGGGATGCCTCGTGGATGCCTGGGCAAAAACTGTAGCATATTTCTACTCGAGGTCTGCATAGGTAGGCCTCCCGTGGGTCTCGCTGGCCCGCTGCCTCTATGGCGTGATCATTTCTCAAGTCAGCGGGTGCGAGGAAATTCTCCAAGGAAATGCAGCCTTTCATTATTTTATTATTATTTTTTAAAAAGAAAATTGCTCTTACTGGAAACGCCGCATGCAAAATCGCCCCCCCCCCCCTTGCGGGGAACAAGAATGTATCCGAATCATAATTTACATGCGACTTTCTTCTTCTTTTCTCCCCCCCCCGCCCCCTCCCGGTGCGTGTGGGTTTAATCGCTGGCTTTTCCTTTTCCTATGTAAGCACGGCTCTCTCCGAAGGCGAAGAAAAGAGGAAGCCGGGAACTTTAAGGGCGGCGAAAGAGTTAAGTTATTCAAGATGACATCACTGCGATTTGCATAGAATCGGGGTATAACTGGTCACGCAGGGGGAGCGCCCTTTTATACGACGGTCCAGAGCAGCTGCTGCAAAGAGCGGAATTGTACCTGAAGAGAGCGCATCACTGGTGAGGCTCTGGTCTTTCATTATTTCTTTCCCGGTGGTGGGGGTTATTTGAAGGGTATCTCAGCACCCCATTTTCCGTCCGCATGTTGCCGTAGGCTTGGATTTTCGAGGCAGTTGAGATTTTGATCTCCGCTTTGTTGAACGCACACACACCCAGGGCTTCTTCCTGAATGCACCAGGCGGCGGCTTAAATGCGTGGAGAAACAAACTTTATCGTTACTATTATTATTTTGCTATCATTTTGAGCGAGGAGGTTCTGCCCACCCCCCACCCCTGGACCCTGATGTTTGCCGGAGGGGAAGAGAATGGCACGCTGGACAGATCAAGGCACCTTGGTTCGGTTTCCTTGCCTGCTTGCTGCGCTTTCCTTGGAGAGGCGCGTTTTTGCGCGTGTGCGCGCTTCGAAACCTCAAGCCAGGGGGACTTGGGGCGTGATCGGAAAGGTGGAGAGGGGAAGATGCGGGCGGGGAGGGGGAGGCATCCTCGGACGACCGGCTGCTGCCGCCCCCCGCATGTTGAGCGACAAAAGAGAGCAGCTCTTTGTTTTCCCGGCGAGCAGCCGGCGCTGTGGATCTGGCGGTCCCGGGAAGGAGCAAGCGAGGGGGCGAGAGAGAGGGAGAGGAAGGGCGGTGGTTGGGGCTGCAGCTGCAGCGCGAGCTCTTTGTGCCGAGGGAAGAATGCAGGGCTCCCTCCAAATGTGCTGGGCAGACCAGACACTAAGATGGAAGAAAGTGATTAGCATAGTCTCGCTCGCTTCGCTTGGTGGCATTGTGTGCATACACGCAGGCGCTTTTTTCACCATCCTCATCCTTTGCTTGCTTCATTCTCAGTGCGGTTTTCTCTGCTGTTCTTTCCACATGCAATAAGGCTAGTGGGGAGATCTTAAATGGAGCATATGCATTACCACCACCACTAAAACAATGAGTATTGCTTTTTTCTTTTAAACGAATTAATTGATTTTCACCTGGAACAAATTCTGTTTTTTAAATTTTATTTTAAAGCCTTTCGATTATCTCCACCCCCACCCTTCTGAGGCTGAGTCCCCAGTGGTGCAATTTTATTTTTTTTAGGTAAAATGAGCTCATATGAATATAAGTATATAGAGACCTGCCTTTTAAAGTAAGGGGGTTAGTAGTGTTGCACTGAATCAGGAAGGAGGAGCTGAGATGGTTGGAGTGAATTCAAGCGGTTTTGAAAAGGGGTGGGGTTGGGGGGAGAGGAAGGAAGGGTGGTGCAATCTCTAACCATCTCTTTCCCCTCTTTTGTGTGTGTGCTTGTGCGTGCGTGCAGATCAATCGGCAGATATGTCTGACAAACCAGATATGGCTGAAATCGAGAAATTCGACAAGTCTAAGTTGAAGAAGACGGAAACGCAAGAGAAAAACCCACTGCCTTCAAAAGAAAGTAAGTGGATCTTGGGAAATGAGAAGAGGGCGTGGGCCGCTGGAGACAAAGAGAAGGCAGGGCTGAGCCAGGCTCCTTCAGCTATCCTCCTCCTCCTCTCTTGCTGGATGGGGTTTCAGTGCCTTACAGGATGCTGTGCAATTTATGTACAAATGGAAGCATTAAATACAGTACACAAAGATATTTTATGAAAATAAGGGGACTTTTAAGCACAGTATGCATTAAATGCAATATATTGAAAGAATTTTTTTAAAATAGATTTATTCAACAGTGTTTAATTTTGAAGAATTTTAAATGAATGGGGTTTTTTAAAACAATATTGCGATTCCTATTTAACTGCATTTCAAATGCATAATCCTTTTTTCTTTTTCTCCTTTCCCCCTTTTGCAGCAATTGAACAGGAGAAGCAAGCGGGTGAATCGTAATGAAACCGGCCCTTCCAAATTATGCACTGTACATTCCACAAGCATTGCCTTCTTATTTTACTTCTTTTAGCTGTTTTAACTTTGTAAGATGCAAAGAGGTTGGATAAAGTTTGAATGACTGTACTGCCCCTTTCACATCCAAAAAAAAATTTAAAGAATAGAGAGAACTACTGATGCTGTGAACGAAGGCGCTGCCCTTTCCATCTGCCTGTCCAGCTTGGTCCTGGTGGCACGAAAGAGCTTGCATGTGTCTCGAAAGAAGATCCTGGGAAGGGACTACAGTAATCTAGTAACACCCGAATATACGCAAAGCTGTACCAAGGTCCCGCAAGCTGTAAAATGCAGTTAACCGAGTGCCATTTTTTTTTTGTTCAAATGATTTTAATTATTGGAATGCACAATTTTTTTAATATGCAAAAATAAAATGTTTTAAAATCTGGATTATACTGATCTGGTATATATTTTTTTGAGAATTGTTATCAAAGGAAGAATAAGTGCCTATACCAACGAGATTATATGACTTTATAGACTCATGCATAAACATTTTTTCCCCCTCCAGCTTTTGTCTGCCAAGAGCAGTCTGCATATTAGGATTCAACATTCATTGGGCAATCTGCAAAAATAACTTAAAATATCACATTTATTTCTAAGAGGTCTATGCAGGAACTATACAACCTATATATTGAGCTTTTAAAAGACATATATTTTAAAGTTTTGTTATAAAAGGCATTGGACTACCAAATTATATCGACAGTGTTTTGGCAGTATATTTATTGCAACAGTTTCCCCTTTCAACATTTTTAAAAAATCATGTTCAGCAAAACCTGGCAGTTTTGGATGCCTGTGCATGGAGGTTGTCTTTAGTGCATCACAGCAGCCTCCAGCTGGGGAATGATTTGAAGACTTCTTTTCACCTTGCCATGTCATTGCTGCTGCAGTCAGTGTTAATTCCTTAAGGTGGCAACTTTCAAACTTGCTACATTTGGGGGTCTCCTGAGAGGAAGTCCTGGGTGTTGCAGATGTGTGGTTCACGCCAGGTTGGTGTTGCTCAGCTGCATCTTGCTGTCCTGTACAAATTGATGAGGGTGCTCTAAAACACTGGTCTTCCAACTGGTGATCCAAGGTAGGTCACAGCAGCAGCATCGCCACCATGCAAATATATGGCAAAATATTTAAGAAATGGGGCCCCAAGTGCATGTTTCAGACCCATGTCCCGAGTCCAACAAGGTTGAAGATGCCTGTCATAGAATACCCCTTAACAATGTTGTGCATTGCAGAGGAGGAAAATGAACAAGCCCCCTTTTTAGATAAGGTGACCATTGATATCCAAGGTTCCTAGAAAACCATTTCCATAGCACCAATATTTTGGTCTTAAATGCCATACTCCCATTCTAGGAATGGGGAACAAGCTTTCCAGACTCCCACTATCCCCATCGCCTTCCATGCTTACTGAATTTGATGTCCAGCAACAGTTAGGACCACAGGTTTGCCACTCCTGCACTGAGCAGTGCTTAGTATGTTGAGTGGGGGGCTCCAACCTCCTTAGTGGCTGTGCTTTTCTTTGTTCTGTTCATAACCTCATTTAAAGTCCACTCTTCCATGCATCTTAGGGCAGTTGTACATATGGTTTTCAGCCATACTAGGAAGAAGCAATAGACCCGTTTTTTCTCTGGAACATGCATGTGTGTGCGCACAGTTTCATAGTCAATTAAAATACCGCTATTCATGAAAACTTGACAATGGCTATTGTATTCAAGTGAAACCAGGCTCTATTGACTGCATATTGGAACTGCTGAGAGTTCCATTTTGTGCAATGTGTACCAGATTAAGTTACCTGAAATCCTCTTCAACAAAAGATGCTCACTACCAGTAATGTACAGTTTTAAGATCATGCAAATATGATCTTGCCTTTCCAAGTTGGATGTATTTTAAGCAACTGATTGTTCATTAATCTTTCAACAATATCAATGGGTTCCCTCCATTCTCAAAAAGGTAAAACATTTAAGCCACCCCACCTAAAGCCTGGTGGCTTATGTTTATTCCTTAATTTGTCTCTTCCTCTTTCGGGGTTTGGTTCAGTTTGAAAGTAATCTTGTTAAGCTTCTACTGCTGAGTGAAGCAGGAGGATAACATGGGGAGGTGGACGTTTAAGATGTGGGACTTGTAATTACAGGCACACTCACTTGCTCCTGGATGTACCAGTTGCTTAACAGCCCAGACCTGCAACAGAGCTAGGTGCACCTAGAACCATTCAAATCAATGGGCTTAAGTATGCCTAATTCTGCCTAACATTGCTCTGAAATGATGTCAAAATGAATTCTCTTGGCAAATCCATGGAGACATAACATTACGCATATTAGCCAAGTTCTACCCAAGAACTGTGACATTCACAAGGGAGCTTTACAGTTGTTTTTCCTCATGGAGCAAGCCCCTTTGTGCATAGTAAATGCTTTTTTATTTGGAGGGGGGTTTCAAGTGGCAATTTATGATATGAGATGGAGTTGGGGAGAGCTGTTCAAAGACAAAAACAAAATGCAAAATTTCAATGGGCCAAGACCATTTGCCTTTGCCTCAAGGCGTATGATATGTTGCTGTCTTACGGAGAAGTAAGTATTAAGTGAAATCACTGGAACATTGTTTCTGAGTAAATACAGGATTGGCCTGTTTACATCTCTCAGGATCCACAGCACTGAACTAGAGTTCTAAGAGAGACAACTCCTAATAAAGAGCATTAGAAAGAATTTGACGACAAAATGAAAGCGATCAACAAATAGGCTGCTAGCGAGCCCTGCTTGCATCCTCTTGAACTGTGGACAAGCCACAGGAAATTGTTCTGCTGAGACTCTTAAAATACCAATTGAGAGACACCACCCTGCTAGCGATCTTAATCAGAAAGCAACAGGATGCAGAGCGTGATGACTAAAACCCAAAGTGTGGAGGCAACGCAGCATATGCTCAACTGAAAAGCATTGAAGCTGTGTATGAGGCTGTGGCAGGTTGGCACTAAGTGAGGTCGTGCCCTCCTAACCCAAGCAGCACATTAAGCAATAGTATCTTTTCACAATGTGCACTGGGAGTTTGCAAGTAGGGTATTGGGCTCTTTACTTGGTTCCCTATGTGACAGGGCGGGGGAGGGTATTTTAAAAAGGCAGTGCTGTGTTTAGGGTGTGAGGCAGTATAAATGCCAGCTTTCATTCATGACATCATGAACTTGACTTACAAGCAATGATATGACTTAGTGTGTGAAGTGCACCACTTTTTACACACACATGCATACACGTTCTCACCATCTTGGAATATAGTCTAGTTTGAGTGGCACTGACTGACCAAGGTTACCCAGAGAAGAAGCTTGAAGCAGCCTGCCCTGCTCATACCTTCATACCCAACACACAATTCACACGCACAGTGGCCCTCAGCATACACTGAGGTATACAAGTGACGATATTTTTGGGGAATGGAAATGGGAAAGAGTGCTTTATAGAATGAAGACCTTGTGGTTGCATGTTTGTTACAAGACTCATTGAAATTAGTGAATCTTAGCCATTGTCGGTGGGTCTACTCTGAGTAAAACTTAGTTGGATACCACCTGATATATTCATAAATGGCTGGCTACAGTGCCATAACATGGACTTTGAGCTGTATGTACAGGCCTCACGTTCATTTCTCTTAGCTATGCATCAATGTAACCTCTTTAAACAACGTCTAGGCAAGCTGCATTCTGGCCACCCAAATGGATTTAAAAGCAGTGTTCTCAGCGCCACATTTGGATGGTGCAGCAACAAGCAAGAGCAACTTTGTGAATGAGGGACATTGCTTTGATTGGTCTGTTTATTGGCCTGGACTATTCATATTTCTGAAACTTTTACACAGATTTATCATTCGCATTTGGAGATGGACCAGCTGTATGGGACATGGTTTTCCAATGGCTTTAGATTTTTTGTGTATGTGTGTATGTTCCTACATTTGAATTTATCATCTATCTGCTATGTTGCACGGGGAGGAAATATCTTCAGCAAGGTACTCAGAATGAAAGGCACCATTTCCTTAGTTGCATATAAATAGAGAACATTTCTAATGGAGCATATGGCAAGGTATCTCCCTCCCATGCTCCCAACTAGCCCAATCTCAGCGCAGGTAGATAAGGTTTTTATTATGCCCAAGATACATCTTCATATCTACCAGAAAAGTAGCTCTCCTTTTTGGCTTGATATGAAATGTTGGCTACTGGGAGTACTCGTGATCGCCAAAGAAAGAAGAAATGTTAGCTGTGGTTTTTACACTTATGCAGCGCTGCTGATTTCTGCATGCATCCTGCAAACATATTGTATGAAACAAACTCCTGCCATTTCAGTCATTAATTCTCTTGCCAGAATGATTCAAATGCACTTCCCCTTACTTAATGCATTTTGACTTCAAAATTATTATTATTCTGCAAAGAGGAATGTGTGGCATAATGCAACTTCCTTAGAAACCCTTACTTCCTTAGCAACTGTGCAGATATGAAAAGCAAAGGTGAGTTTTTGTCTACGTTAGTTGATTGCTATTACGCTGCCTCAAACAGACAAATAATTTCTAGGGAGCTAAAGAATGGGGAGAGATGTGCTAGGTCAAGAAATCCATTATAATGAATGCATATCATCCTAGCAGTGCTAAACTAAACCAAAAACAAATTTGTTTTAGCCATTCATGGCCAAGGATGAGAATCCTTTTGCACACAGATCTCTCTGGCTAAGATCCTTACAAATGGATACTTTGATGCTTAGAGACAGATAACAGAATCTCAATCTGCTCTGAGATGCATTTCCAGGTTTAGCCCTCCGTTATGATGTGAGTAAACATCCTAGATTGGTCATTTGCATGACAGTGATATTGCTCACCACTCATAAAAGGGCATAATACCCTTTGTAGATCTATTCTGCCAATCCACATAGAATTGCAGAGTTGGAAGGAACACTGAGGATCATCTAGTACAACCCCCTGAAATGCAGGAATTTGCAGTTATCCCATACGGGGATCGAATCTGCAACCTTTGCGTTATCAGCACCATGTTCTACCCAACTGAGTTCAACTGTTTCATCATTTGTGAAAAGAACAGCAACAAATATTTCTGTAGTATCTATATTGTATTGGGTGCCATACAAGTGGAAACTCGATGCATCCATGGAGAGCAGGGGTAGACAACATCGTGCCCTCCAGATGATTTAGACTACTGTTTCCATCAGCCGCAGCTTGCATGACCATTGGTCAGGGATTATGGGAGTTTAGATCCAAAAGATCTCGAGGGCACCATGTTGGCTACCCTTGCTGCAGGGGGCTACACCTGCTCCATGTGTGCAATGTTTGTACAGTGTACAAAACACACCCGCAGGACTAGAGACTATTCTGCTGCTTATAAACTGGTTCTGCTTGTGAAATGACACCTATTGTCAACCATGTGTCTGTTCTTTAATCCTTATAATTTGTGACAAGCAAAACAAAAACGTCAGTTCTGTTTTCCTTTCTAATGAAGGAAGGAGTCACATTTTATCAAAGACTTGCTATAAATAAAATTTTACTCAACGGCTAAACCCAAATAAATTACCCCCTCCTCACCAGCCCACAGAGCAAATTCTTGTTGAGTATCAGAAATGTCCTTGAGCATATGGGATCTGTGTTGACATTGGAGAAATGTTTACTTTTGTTTCCGTCCCAAAATGGGATTCTTGCGGAGTTGGCTAAATAACACAAAAATGAAATGTAAATATTTCTCTAGCTAAAAGCAGCATGCTTTGGGTGCTCTTTGTGGGAACAGGTCAGATTATAAACTGTTCTTGGGGAATCAGCCTTGGTTGCCAAAGCTTTCATAAGAACTGCTAGAATGTGATGTACTGAAAGTGAATTGCATTTACTCGGCTATTGAAAAAAGGCACTTTTCTCCCAACCCGAAGCAGATGGCAGATGTGTAACCTGTACAATACTTCAAAACCACCCTTATATATACAAAGTTATTGTTGTTAAAGTCTCTAGAAGGTGTGGGGTTTTCTCATTATGGGAACTGAAGAAACCTGCTGCTTTCTTATTTTGTATTCACAACCAGCAATGCAAACCTAGGACCGATTCCTATGACTAATTAGCCAGTGAGAATATTTGTGGCAATGTTTTCACTTCCTTCCTTCCTTCTTCCTTCTTTCTTTTTGCTTCACCAAGCACACACTTTACAACCCACTGCCTGGTGCATATTTGGCACAATCATTGGGACACTGAAAAACTTGTACTTCTGACAGAGCAATCACACAATCATCTGATTGGGTGCAAGGTGGCTATGTGTAACATTGTGGCTCCTTCTCTGTAGCATTCTGGTTGATTGTGAAGATCAACTTGCAAACTCTCTTGCATGCCACCACAAACTACACTGAACACCATCCAGAAAATGTCAGTCTTGACCAAGTCCAATACAAATCAACAGCGATGTTGGCTTGCCACAATGAAGCTACTCGTGCCATTACTTTCCAGGCAGTTTAGGGCTCTTTCATATGCTACAAGTAGCAAATCTACGAGGCAACATTCCAAATCTTGTGGCTACATGGAAAGGTAGGCTAATGCATGAGATTATGGTTTGGTCTGCAACAGCCAACTGTTGTCACTTCACTATAGCAGGAAGTGGGAGAAGGAAATGTGAAGCACTTTGCATCTTCTTGGGGATTGCTGAAGATGACAACAGAGGGATTTTTTTAGTGCTATGTGGAGAGAATTCACAAAGGAAAATAACCCCTTCTTGGGAGGGGGGTTACCCAAAGCTATTTAGAGATAGTAGGATAAAGACACACAAAAAGCAATATGATTTCCCCAAATGCATATGAAGGTCGTGGCTAGAGAATGTAACTTTCAAAAGGATTAGCTATCTCTGCAGATCATAAGCCCATGGGAAGCCACTTTCAATAATAAAGGTAAAGGTAAAGGGACCCCTGACCATTAGGTCCAGTCGTGGCCGACTCTGGGGTTGTGGCGCTCATCTCACTTTATTGGCCGAGGGAGCCTGCGTACAGCTTCCGGGTCATGTGGCCAGCATGACTAAGCCACTTCTGGCGAACCAGAGCAGCGCTCGGAAATGCCATTTACCTTCCCGCCAGAGCGGTTCCTATTTATCTACTTGCACTTTTTGATGTGCTTTCGAACTGCTAGGTTGGCAGGAGCAGGGACCAAGCAACGGGAGCTCACCCCGTTGCAGGGATTCGAACCGCCAACCTTCTGATCGGCAAGTCCTAGGCTCTGTGGTTTAACCCACAGTGCCACCCGCGTCCCACTTTCAATAATAGCCAGCAGTTATTCCATATACACCAATCTTTTAAGAACAAGGCTTATATGATTAAAACCATTTACAAAACTAGACACCCCCCCCAAAAAACACACTTCAGAATCATTCTTTCCCTCTTCTCCTTTTGGTCAAGGTGTCTTTGCAATGCATGTGTAACATGATAGCAATCGCACAACAAAAGCTTTGCACTGCAACAGTTTCAGACCACATCCTGGAGCTTGACCAAGATGCTGAATTTGGCTGCACTCAGAACTTTAAACATGCACATTCTGTACTTCTTTGTACTAAGGTTGGACATCCTTTTGAAGGAGGTTGCTGCATGTTGTTTCATTTACACAGAGTAACGAGATTTTAATATGGGAATGACTAAGAAGGTGAGCTTTGTGCCAGTAAATCCTGACTTCAAACCTCAGCCATGAAACCATTTAAGTGACTTTCTGCAAGCCACTGTCTCTTAACCTTCATCCCCTCCATGGAGTTTCTTTCTCTGGTTGCTACTGTTAAATATGATTATGCCATTTCTGACCTTTTCTGTTGTTTCTTTTAGATTACTTTTAGTGCAGTTTTATCTGTAATTTTTATTAGCCATCTTAATTGTTTGAAAGAAAGTGGTATAGATCAAACAAACAAACAAACAAACAAACAATTAATACTGACCTACACTGTATGTTAAAAAGGCAATTCCACCTGTTCTTGAGTGTGAACATGTTCATGAGTGTGCAATCTATTTTCATCAGGGCATTTTTGTCAGAAGTCCAGCAACATCTGCAGGGCACCTCATTGACTACCCTTGGTTTATATGTCTCTGTGTGTTTCAGAGAAAGAACTCAGATTTGCCGGTGTGTGTGTGTGTGTGTGTGTGTGCAGGCCCAGTCCACTATGTGGAATGTTGTGCTTTCCCATGTTGGATGAACAAAAACACTCACCATCTGCCATTGCATTCTGTCAAAACCAATGTGACCTCTGAGTGCTTATGCTGAAGATCAAAATGCTAGCCTGACAGGTTGCAACTGCAATAGTTGAAACATCTACCCATCTTTTAAAAGAGGTGAAGTGTCTCTCTGTGTTGCAAATTTCACAAAAACTGCTACACACCCACACCTTATACAGTACAGGACAGACTTTGCAGACATTTTGAAGTAGATTCAGAAACAGTTTTCAGAGGCTGAACAGTATGGATCTTCTCTGTTTTTCTGTCAGTTTACAAAAAAGCAAGCTGGACCATTCCCTGCTTGCTCACTTGCACAAGCATTTCTGAGGCAGTTATTTCCAGTCAGAACAACGCCCATTTGCATCCTTGTAAAAATTGCACTGTCTTTCCTTTCTGTTTCATACAGAACAACACCATAAAATTAAGGAAGTAAACTGGCTGTATAGTTCAGCCATTACCTGTTCTGAAATTGTGTCTACAAGGCTGTAGAAAACCTGTGCATTATCTGGAGTGCTGGGGTAATGTACTCCTCAAGGCCAACCCCTCTATCAAGCTTCTTTATTTATATTCACCATAAATAACTCAAATAATGTCCCTTGACAGGGTGAAGCTTTCTGCAAGTCACCAGACAGATCTTTTTGCAGGAAGCACCCAGATATGCATTGCCCAGCAGTTTTTCATAGCAACTGAGTGGGAACTAGGAAGTGAAGCATATTCCCCGTATGCCCTGGTATAACACCTGCAGCAAAATATGTTCCCCAGGGTGGGATGAGGGAGGCCCTTTTGAGGGCTGCTGAATATGTGATCATACTGATCCCTATCATTTTTCTGAAAGGGCAGGGACAATACACAATCAGCAAAGTCGCTAGCCTACAGTGCACACTGTATTTACAACACAATAAGGCATAGGAAGCTACTTTATACTGAGTAAGGCCATTGATACAGCTACCTCAGTATATGCTGCACTGATTGGCAGCATCTGTCTAGGATTTCTGACAGAGGGCATTCCTAGCCCCTTACCTGGAGGTGTTTGGGGCTGAACTTGGGACCTTCTGCATTCAAAGCAGATGTGCTTGCCCTTGAGCTATGGCTCTCCCCAGGATCCTGGGATGCCAGTATGCAGAAATCTCACTTGACAAGAGAAAGGGAACATTCCTGCCTATTAGTAGGGCTGGGCCTTGCTAATGGCTACTACTTAATGGATACTAGTCTTGTTGGCTTCCAGGATCAGAGGCACTACGCATCTGAATTCCAGTGCCAGGGGATCATGAGTGTTTTTGCACTCATGTCCTGGCTTTGAAACTGGGCATGGGTGCAAAAGATCAGAACCCTGGACTTAATAAGCCTTTAATTTAATCCAGCATATCTTTTTATGTTCAGATAAGTGTAAATTGGGGCGGGGGGGGGGGAGGGAGAGACAGCAAATCCTCATACAAAAGATCAAATCATTTATCTACATTTTGATACAATTAAAGTATGTACTCCAACTCATGACTGATGAAAGCAGCTGATCCTGGCCAGGGTTCAAGACAGAGTCATCGCCTTTATAAGAGTGTGTTTCTTTTCAATCCCTGTCCAGAGAAAAAAGTTTTCCATTTGCCCTGGGGGTAAAAGCGACCAATCTGCTGTTACTGGGGACTTCTTAAGATCACAGTTTAACCGTACAGTTTTTCTCTCACTTCCTTATGAGATGGGAAGTGCAATGAAGCTTTTCTAAGGTCATCTTTTTACTCAGTAGGCAGCTTTGTATCTGAGAGCACAGAGGTTTTAAGGGGTTCATATTACAAGAAATTGTCCTCTTCCTAAGCTTTGGCTGCTCCCTCAAACTCTGGCCCATTTCTCACATCACAGTAAGACAAATTATATAACCTTGGTGCCAAGGCTTATTCTTTGGCTACATCTCGTGGTTACTGGTGAGGGAACATAACCATGGGCCCAGGTTCGGAAGACATGCAGAGCAGAAAGGAGCAAAGCAGCTGCAGGTGCGGGCTCCTTACCTGCATGTTCAAGTGGTCATGGTAAGCTATAGTTTGGCATACTGTGACTTGTGAACCAGTTCTGTATGGTACATCAGTGATCCTATGCACTGCGAAGTGTGAGTTATCAACCAAAAGCTGGCAATGTCATATAACCCCCTCATGAACTGATCAGGATTAATGTTCAATGAGAAGGCAATGCCGTATAATGTCCACACATTTTTTTTTAAATACATCAGCATGAATGCTCAATAAACAACCAGTCTGGAAAGTCCCCAATGCTGTCTGGGTTGAGGCCCATCTGTTTTGATGCACAGCGGACAACAAATCTGGTATATTTTTAGACAGAAGGAAGTAACTATTTTGTGCCTTCCTAAGGGTCAAATATACAGCAGGCTTGTTGCCTTACAACTGCATTCTTGTGTGTGGTGTGTGTGTGTGTGTGTGTGTTTGCATATACACATGAACACACACATATTCAGCTGTGCTCTGGCCTACTCCCATTCAAAGTTTAAGCAACTTCTTACCCAATGTAAACCTCTCCTTTTTGGGCTGGCATTCAAGAGTCTTGGTTAAGCAGCTGTGGAAGAACATGGAAATCGACATGTTATTATTGTGTGTGTCCTGTTTTATTTGTAATCCCTGCAGCCAACTTGTTTCAAGAGAGGTGGGGGCGGCTAGAATTTAAATAAACAAGAGGAGAGTAATGCAATGATGTGCATTTTTTAAAAAAAATGCTTATTGAACAGCCTGCTCTATGTTCTGCTCAAAATGTTGGGGACTGATGTCTACACATTACAAATGTCCAGATGGGGAGCCATGTTAGTTTCTAGCAGCAAAAACAACAAAGGGTATTGAGGCCCCTTAAAGACATAAAAAAAGAGAATAATGTGATTATGGTGTAAGCTTGTATGGACTTTGTCAGGGTCATGAAGTGAAATTTCAGGGAAGCAGGAGCAGAGCAACTGATGTGGATCTTATCTTTGCATTGTAGGCTAGTGTCATGGACTGGTTGGATGCAGAGGAATGGTGGGAGGAACCAGCTGGGAAACCCCCAAGAGAAGAAGGCGATTGGTAGTGGGATGATGATGAGTGTTCAGAGGGAGAAGAAGGAGCAGATTGGGAGGAGGAGCTGTCAGAAGCTGAAGAGGTAACAGGGCATAGTGAGCAGGGGGAGTCTGGCAAAGAGAAGTCCAGAATTAGAGGCAGAAGCTGCAGTAGGAGAGGGAAGCCAAGAGGCAGAGATGAACTCAGCTGATGAAGAGGCACAGATGTCTCCCCCTCCTGCTGTGAGAAGCTCCCATCCCTCCTCATCTTCCAGAACCAGGAGAGGCATGAAAAGGGTAGAGGAGAAGTTAGCTTCATGCAGGCACAGTCTCAGATTGCTTGGGATAAACTGCTGAGAGGAGGGGACTTAGACAGCTGAGGGGATGTGTCATTAGGCCTGCCACTCCTGTGCAGATATTTACTAATAACGCCAACTTGCTCAGTGTGATTTACTGCTGGCTCGCTCCTGTCAGCTAGCTTCTTCAGACGATCACACCCCTCTCTATCCTTCATCCAGACAAGAAAGCGGTGCTATTAGAGTTCAAGGACATGTTCCAGCCAGGCCAAAACACTCAGGGCATAAAGCAGGGCCAGTGAAGGTTGTGGCTTGTAGAGACAGTGAGGACAGTTCTGAGGGCAAGACAGGGAGGCCTAGAGGACTGCACTGAGGCCAAGATTCCCCATTCCTGCATTATAGTAACACATACTCCCTCTCCACCTGGATTTACAGGGCTCAATGTATCCAAACATTCTTGGTCAATCAGATGTTCACAAATCCAAGGTCAACATGAGCAACTGGCTTTCTTGGACAGCTGCAGGGACTCACTGCTGATGCCAGCCCACCTTATTTATTGATTTAGTCTATCTTCTGACCAGTGCCAGACAGATACCCTTTTCCAATTCCCCACAGTGCTCCTGACCAAGCATTGTGCTGAGGTATTGTGGTAAAGGCAAAAGGGGGCTAAGCCTTGCGACCTAGCACTGCTCAGAGAGCTGCCACCACAGCCAGGAAAGCCTGCCAAAGCCCCCAGACAGAGGAGGGAGCCCACCAGAGGTCCCTCTGCCCAGATCCAGGCCTGCATGAAGTATATATGGGCCTTTTTTCAGTGAGTTTGGAGAAGCAGAAAACCTAGTTCCAGATCCTGAGGAATTGAGGTGTAAATGCAAGGATCATGACCATGCTAGGGCTGCTGCCTTTGGCAGCAATAATATTCCCAGTGCTGTTACGTTGGGGGGGGGAAGGGACAAAACCCAGCAATGAGTTATCAGGTGGTTTTGCATGTGCTGTTCTCTCAGCAAAACACTTCATTCCTCCCACATCAACTTCTTTCCAGATAAACAAGCTAAGAAGACAGAAGCTGATCCAGCTGAAAAGACTAGTCAGGTTTAAAAATCAAAACAAAACAAAAATACAGCCGGTGAAATTTTAAATCAGGACTGGGGTTGGGGAGAGGGAGCAAAGGTGTTATAATGAAAGGAGCATTGAAGGATACATCTCCAAGATTAGGCCTGGCAAAATGGGAAGGAATTAACCCCAGCACAATGGGGTTACCATTTTCATCCATGGCCAGTCTTTTCCTCACATTTCCACTCGAAACCACCACCACCCTGTACTCTTCAGATAAAGGGCGGTATACAGATTTAATAAAACAACAACAACAACAACATACTTTGGAGCTAGAGACGGCTATTTCTCTTTCTAGTGCTTGCCCTTCCTAATAGTACTGCCACATATATATATACTCAGCAGTAAATCCCACTAATTTCTCAGGCAGGTGTGTAGAGGGTTGCAACCTAAGTCTGCACAAACAGAGCAGGAGAGCTTCAACAGGACCTTTGGCTTTATGTGTGGGAAAATGCCCTTAGGATGCAATCCTATACATGCTTACCTGGGAGTAGGCTCAACTGAATTCAGTAGGATTTCCTTCTGAGGACACATGCATAGGATTGCCCTGTTATCATCTTTTTGGATCAAGAACAGTGGTTTTGCTTCCTTGCGCAGTGAATGTGCTTATTTCTGGAGGCAAAGGACATTCAGTGAGATTATTTACAGTGCAAGCCGTAACCACTGGCAACTTGTTCATGTTATAACTCCCGCCCACATCTCTGCAGATCAACACTGAGCGCTGAATCATTTCAGTTTTCCTTGTGTTACGCACAGAAGGGAAATGCGAATACAACGAGTCCTGTGGTACTTCAGAGCAGGGGTAGGATATTTCAGGCACAGAGGCCAGATCTGGACCTCTGGGCTTCCCTCTCTGGCCCTCGGCACACTTTCAAGGCTAGTCCACCTCCTCGGGTCAACCTTGCATTTGCAGCCCAGTTCCATGTGATCCTTTTGCCTAGCGGGAATATATCATTGAACTGTGATCGTGCATCCTGCTTGCATGGATGTGTATGTAAACATGATTTTAGAATGTAGCGAACTGTATAAAAGTAAGACTCAGAGAGTTACATCTACTGTCGCACCCACTTTTGCCCTTGCTCTTGCTCGTCATTGGCACAGTTCCTTACAAAGGCATGTGGTCCTCTGGTTGAAAAAGGCTCTTCACCTCCTGAAATATACTCGGAGTCGAGAGTGGATTTCATGCTCTTTATTCAGCTCATAGTGGTGAGGCGGAATGGAAGTTCCCCCAGAATGTCTGCCTTATATACATTATTTACATAATGGGCCCAATATGATTGGCTAATTCCGGGATTCTCCTGTAGGCCAATCAGGTTGCGGATTCCCTTCCACCTGGAGCTGGATTGGGTGGCTCCTGTGGACCAATCAAACTGCTGCATTCTGGACCCTATTGTTCTAGGACCAATCAGACTGCTGCCTTTTGGATCCTATTCAACTCAGTACATAACACCTCCGCTTTAGAGGTTGGCAGTCATGGGTGTAGCCAAGCGAGGGCAGGGGGGGCAGCTGCCCCCCCATAAAGTAAAACAATAGAAATGCTTAACTAACTGACCAATCACCAACAAAAGTCCAGCCTTCCCCTAACAAAAATCCTGGCTTCGTCCATGCTGGCAGTGCAACATTACACATGTCTACACAAAAGTAAACTCTACCAAGTTCTAGCAATAATTCCCAGTACCCTTAACAAACTACAGTTTCCAGGATTGGGGGGGGGGGAGAAATGTGCTTTAAATGTGTGGTGTACACAGCCTAAGCAATATGAGGAAGGTTAGCTGAAGACCATGGGCACAATTAATCACAACCTTTGCTTGCACAGTTAAACAGATGAGATTTTCACAATACCACTCGTTTGAGAAGGGTTTGTACAGGAGAAATTTCCATAGATTCCAGCCACAGAGAACACACACACACACACAATTTCTCACATGAGTTTAGCTTTGATTCTTTTCTGATTAAATTCTGTTCTTTGTTCTCCTGAAAGATGAATAATTTATCAACTGCTGCAATGCCTTGCGCATATATATATATATACATATATGCTGAAACTATCATTAAATTTAATCAGATCCCAAGGAATTGCCCTACTCAGGCGACATGTCTGCACGTTAATTTTGTTTCTCAATGATGGTTTCTGCCTTATGGGAGGAATGCCTATATCCTTAACCTAGTAACAGACAGGTTTCCAGCAGTGCACTGTGTTTCTTCCACATTGCAAGGAAAAGTAGGCCATCTCCTCACATTTAGTATGCTCACTACATATTTTATCGGAGACAGACAAGAGGGATAACATCAGTTCTTTCTGCCTAAGCAGCATTTCTTCTGGCAAAGGTTGGCTGCACACAGCACTCTTTGATCAAGTGTATGTTCCCCTATCTGAAAAGTCCCCAGTGTAGCTGATCAGACTGTGCAGGGAATTGTTAGCATTCAGTCTGAAGGCACATATGCAAGAACGCGCTATTTTGCTCTGCTTAATCAGACCACTTCCTTGTTCTGTACTCACAGTCACTAACACCAGATTATTATCGCAATCGTTTTCTGCCTCACTGTATGAATGAAAAAGAAAAGGAAGATTTCCCTTCTTTCCCTACTTTTCTTTTATCGTAGTAAAAGCTGGCTTATTAGGGATGTTAAGGAATAACTAATTTGCATCAAAGGATGTGGAGCATGTTCTTAGAAGGCTTGCTCTGCTCCAATCAATATGTGAAATTCCCTGTGGGATTCAAGAGAAGTTAGATCAACCCTTTAGGGTGAAATTATAACTGGTTGACCCCCGATGAGTCCTGAAATATGTTGATGAAAGCAGGTTATGGATTGTGTGACACTGTGTGTGTGCATATATGTTTATTTATTTATATGAAAATGTATATGCAGCTCTTCTAGTGCTTACTCAGGACCTTGAAGCAACTTTAAAATACAGGGGTACCTCGGGTTACATATGCTTCAGGTTACAGATTCTGCTAACCCAGAAATATTACCTCAGGTTAAGAACTTTGCTTCAGGATGAGAACAGAAATCATGCAGCGGCGGCGCAGCAGCAGCAGGAGGCCCCATTTGCTAAAGTGGCGCTTCAGGTTAAGAACAGTTTCAGGTTAAGAACAGACCCCCAGAACGAATTAAGTACTTAACCCGAGGTACCACTGTACAATAATATTCCACACATTTAATATAATAATAAAACTAGACACAGGCTGTTTTCCTATAGGCACCTGGCTGGTCTCTGTGAGAACAAGGATGTTGGACTAGATGGGCCTTTTGTCTGATCCAGCAGGGCTGTCCCAATATTCTTAGCTGCAGCAGATTAAGACATTGGATGAAAGAGAGAAACCTATTGTCAGGGACTGGCTGGACAATGAGGAGTGGTGGGAGGTTCCAGCCAGAGATCGCCATAGGGAAGCCTCAGAAGAGGAAGGCTCCAAACTGGGGAAGTGGTGGTGGGACAATGAAGACAGATCAGAGGAAGAATGGGAAGATGCTGGAAAAGCAACAGGCTTGAGAGAGATGGAAAACACTGCAGACACAGACCCTCCAAGTGCCCCTACTTTCCAGGGGTGTCCCTGATTTAGTAAACCCATTCCGGTTTCTGATTTGATCCTGGAATGTCCCACTTTTCCTTAGGATGTCCCTATTTTCATTGGAGGGTATGGAGTTATCCAACCCCCGAGCCGTCTGAAGGCAATTCTGCATAGGGAAGTTTTTAAAAGTTTAATGTTTTTATATATGTTGGAAGCTGCCCAGAGTGGCTGGGGCAACCCAGTAAGATGTGCGGGGTATAAATAGTACATTTATTGTTATGGAATGGGACGTCCCTATTGCCATCAGAGAAATGTTGGGGGATATGCAGGTGTGGAACAGGCAGCTGAGGAGGGGGGGGGGGCTGAAGCTGTGACAGATGCACAGGAGCCAGCAGGTTCAATCTATTGTGTTTAGCACTCCTTCCCCTTGATCTCCGGGTACTCGGAGGGTTTTGCATGTTGCAGAGGAAAGAGCTCTGTAGAAGGTTCTTCTAAGATCAACTTGTGTAGAGCACACTGGAGTAGTCCAGTCTTGGTGTAGCTAAAGGATATGTCATGACTTTATAACTCAATGAGCGCCCTACAGCTGTTTTCCCCCCATGTGTAGGATGGGGTGAAAGAAAGGCACATGGACTTTCTTGAACACACAGCAAACTGTGAGAAAGCCTTTGAGAATGTGTCAGTAGCATTAAGTTCAAAGGCATTCTAATGTACATGAGAGATTTAGGGCCACCTCTCATAAGCTATGTTGCTATTCCCAAACCATTTGAAGCAAAAGCCAGGAACTAACACACTGTTAAGATTCCTTGGTACACATTTTACATACTTTTCTGTGCTGTGGCATCTAATATGTTTAGACATCACTGGACCAGACATAGGATAGGTCTCCTTTTCATGTCACACAGAATTCCCATTGCTTCTGGCTTAAGAGGTGTGTGCAGTATTTACACAGGTGCAATATTTGCACAAACGTCTGAGACGATTATTTGATGATGACTCAGGTATAGTAGCGCTATGACTCCTTAGCAACTTTATCTTCTGAGAACCACCTGGAAAGGTGACTCGTTTATGAGTTCACTCAATTATTTTTCTCCCTTTGAAATATCTGCCAGTTTTGCCAAGACTAGACTATGAGCACACCATAATGTTTTTGATCAAGATGGGGGGGGGGATACAAGCTCTCTTGCCTAAAAATGTACTTTGCCATTAGCAATGCAGTTACATACTTGGCTTTCAGTCTACTTGCCCAAGAGCTATTATAGTTTGCATGGCTTTGGGAAGTTGTATACAGTTGTACCTCGGATTACAGACGCTTCAGGTTACAGACGCTTCAGGCTACAGACTCCACTTACCCGGAAGTAGTACCTTGGGTTAAGAACTTTGCTTCAGGATGAGAACAGAAATCGTGCGGCGGCAGCGCAAGGCCCCATTAGCTAAAGTGGTGCTTCAGGTTAAGAACAGTTTCAGGTTAAGAATGGACCTCCGGAACGAATTAAGTACTTAACCCGAGGTACCGCTGTATATGTGTGATTACACCTTGTTCCACTGAATTGTAGTTGGCGCATACATAGGACTCCTTGGAGCCATTCCAAGGAATAAACCCTTTGCTTGTGTTTGTGTATTCTATAAAATATGGCCCACTTTTTGACAGAACAAACACTCTCCTTGTGGACAGATTTACAAAGAGAGAATGCTTGTTAAATCTCTAAAAGATATTGCTGTAAAAATATTGCTATACACTGTGCCATTCTTTTAAGCAGTGCTTGAACACAAGTACCTAACTAAATAGGGCATGGTTCTACGTAATTAGGGACATCTTGAACTCCTTTTGAGGATCACTTCTAGCAGACTCTGTTGGTGGTGTCACTCAACTAAAACTGAATGGCAGGGAGGTAGAGGTGCTGTTTTTCTTATGTAGTTTATGTTACAATAATTGTGTCTTGCTTTTGCAGTCTGGTGGCTTATGGTTGTATCTTAAATTAGAAATATGTCACTCAGTTGTTTCAAACGTACCGGTATTTAACGATCTTTGGGATCAGAACAGACACAGTAATAAATTGCTTGGCTGTACATAATGTTCCATGTGTCATGGATTATGGCTACTTGCAGGTGGGGTAAGTCGCATCTTTCACAATAATAATGGTGTCTAGAAATTTTTTTGGACTAGGTAAGGCTCAAACTAATAGGGAAGTGGAAGAAGGTGGAATCTTTTTGGAATCTCTTGAGTGCTTCTGAAAATCACCACCTGACTCCACTAATATGCCTCAGATATATTGGTGATATATTAGTAAAGTGAAATTGTCTTTTTTTCCAGGAAGTGATCTAAATTAGGTGACCCTGTATATTGAGGTGCCATGGTCACACCCATTTGGATCAATCATTTATCTATGAATTTAAAGTAGCTGTCTGTGAGGAGAAAAGTATAAAAAACTTGAAACCAGTCCTAAGTTTGTATCATTAAACCAGGACTTCATTTTAACCTAGCAAATACAAAACTCATATATTTTCAAAAGCCAGTCAGGTGTTTTTTTTTTTTTCTTGAATTCAAGCAGTAGTACCATATTCTGGGTGCTGTGAAAAGCCTATAATAAAAATGTGGAATTTCTCTTGCTAGATGTGAAGGTTGTGGGGGATGGGTGGGGAGAAATTCTTATCCAGACATCCTGCCTTCACAGATTTTCTTTGTGATAAAACAAGATTTGCCTAGTGAGAAACAGTTTTAGGTTCGGGTAAAATACAGGATGTAGCATGTAGTGTGGGACAACATTTGCTTAGTTCATGGCTGAGAAATGACTAATGCAGCACATGGAAACTTGAAAAATTCTCTGGCTTAAGAAAACACGTGTGCTATTGTCCTCAGGGAAAATGGCTCTATTTCCAAACTTCCTAATGCAGGGAAGTCACAAGAGTTACCTCATGGCTGAATACAATTGAGCACAACTGAAATAATAATGCACCTTAGGCTCATCTGCATGGGGATCTTTTCATCTCACTCATTCTGCGTCCTCCCTCCAGTTATAGTTGTAGTTATAGCCCCGCAGTTTATAGAAAATTATAAAGTTAGTTAACTGTAAGTAGGCATCTGTAATTATGCCATACTGGAGGACAGCATGTAAGGATTATAGTCCGGTATTTGTGACCTTCTTTTTAGAGAGAGAGCAAATTTAGCACTTTTCTTTGCATTTTTGTAGACAAGCAATCTTCTGGATGTTCCATCACTTAATGAGATTGCAGCTCAGCACATCCTAGAACCCCCCCCCCCAAAAAAAGTGTGTTGGGTCAGGATGTGATAAATTGCAATCTCAGTTTAAACCTAAATATTCAGAAGATTAGCTAAGAGGATCAAATTACTGGGGAAAGTCAACTGATGATGCAGTCACTACATCCAAAACGTAGCATGGAAACTGACCCTGTGTTTATTCTCAACATTTCCCTGCCCTGAACTACCAGAGTCTAGCCCTAGGTTCTTGATAATACCTAATGTCTCTGCTAACATATATTTTAAAGAGTCCTTAAGCCGGGGTTTATTACATTTCTGCTGAGAAGTTGTGCTAATAAAAATAATTAGTGCTTCCAATCTTCCTGGCAATGTAAACTCATTCAGGCATCCTGTGGTTTGACCCCTTGCCAAAATTTACTCTAACATTGCAGTGATTGTGTTTGGTTTAAATTTGTTCTGCATGGAGGTGCAAAACAATCTGAACTGTACCTTTCTGGCACACAATGTCTCACAGGCCAGGCCCAAGATATTTCGCTGCCTGAAGTGGAGCAGCAAATGGCACAAATCCCCTCCCCCATTGCATAATCTCAAGGCTTGTCAATTATTTTGACATCTGAGGCACCAGATCCCATAGACAACTCTTCCCCCTCCTTGGCATTACAGTAATAATAAATTAAACAACTAATATCTTGCTGCCCTTTCATAACACCCCGAATCTGCTGCCTCAGGTGGCTGCCTCACTGTGCTTAATGGTATGACTGGGAATAGCTTCTAGCATCACTTAAGGAATATGGTCAACACGGTGAACTCATTAGATTCCCACCCCCATCCTGTTTTGTGGTGAATATGTGCTTCCTACTCCTGCAGTCACACAATTACTGGATCTGCACTATATTCCTTGCTAGCTATATCCACTTTATATCACTTTTTGTGGCAGCTTCGTATAAATGAACATTTCCCAGAAGCTCTGGCATCTTTCGGCCAGGGGTGGGGAGGGATTCTTGCTTTTATTACAGTGGGTTCACAGGTCTTATTATCAGAGTGATCTCGAGTATTATTTACCTTGGCATTAGAATACCTCTTACTGTATACATGGAGAGGAACTGGAGGGCAACCATCTGTCAAATTGCTTCAAAATTCTACATGCTCAGCAGAAATTGTCAGTCGGTGGGATAAAATTGTCAGTCAGTGTGATGTAATGCCCTCATACTTTCCTCTTATCCATAAACAATACAGTCCTTTTGCTAAAAATGACGCTGTGAGTTTAGACTCCTTGTATCATCCATCATGGATGTGTCTAGTTATGTAGAAGTTTGAGGATCAATTATTCTTCTTAATTCTATATATTCAGACCACCCCCCTCTTCTAACAGTATGAGGTGGCTTTTCCAGTTTGCTGTTAGCAGCCAAAGTTGCTCTGGTTAGCAAATGGAGCCGCCTCCCTAGTGCCCTCAAAGTTTGGAGCAAGGGGTAACAAATTGTTGGATGTAAATTGAGCATGTATCAGGTTCAAGCATCCCAAGTTCAATGTAAGCCTTCGTGTTTTATAACTCCTATTTAACATTTCTTTGTTATCTAGCAGAACAGAAGGGAAAACCTTGCCACACCATCCCAATGCAGATATATTTCCCTTTATTACATTCCTTCATAAGAATTTAAGATCAGGTGTAAATATCAGTGCAACTTTTTCCATCTCATGGGACCTCTTACTTCCAGGTAACATTGTTCACTTCTAACCTGTTATATTTTTATGTTTCCTTTTAACATTTTGATATTGTGTGTGCGTATCACTATTCTGACCCTAGAGTTCTTTCATTAAAGATGTTTACAAAATGGTGCATCTATTTTACAGGGAAACATATAATGATTCCACACACCAATACATATAGAATTTATTTCACTGAATGTATTCTGTTCCATTGGAATGCTTTTGCAGGTTTCAGAATGGCAACAGCTTTATCTGTTTTTATAATTGAATATTGTATTGTTTTTTGTAACCCACCCTGGGATCTTATAAAATTATCATTATCATACATTTGTTAGACAGACAAAAAGGGATAAGAGTTTCTCTGTTTAGTTAGAAAAAGCCTAAGGGTGCTGCTTTTCTTGCCAAACGCAGGAAGTGGCTGTTTTCCCCAAAGACGGCACTTTTACATAGCTCTTGTTAGAAAAACAGAAAAGGAGTAAGTAGCTTCTCTGCTTCTCTTTTGTACTAGGCAAGGCCAAACATTATTTGACTAGAAAGCAATTGCATTGGCTACTGAAAACAATGCCAAGTAATAATGGATGACAAATACTTCTTTCAAATTCAGTGATTCTTAGTTTATCTGAGCAATTTATTTTTTTTAAAAAGATTACTACTACAGACATGAAGTATTTCTCTCCCCTTAAACAGACAATTAGTACGGCTCTCTTCAATAATCAATCTGCCTATAGTTTAATATGACAAAGCCATGAATTGATCAACAGGACCCAGAAGAACATTAAAATGTGTGTTGATACTATGCATACAGTGATCATTCAGATCCAGTGAGGTGCGTTTGTGTGTAGAAGGCCTCTGTACATGGATTCCTACTAGACAGAGCTGCAGCGCTCTTCTTGTGCTGGTACTTACTAGTACAGTGTACCATCAATTTTGTTTAAAAAATTGTTCTTTGCTGCCCATGGCAGCCATTTTGTGCTGATGGCCATGACCCTTTTATCAAGATCCTGGCACCTTATTTCTTACAAAGTAAAAAAAGAAAATCAAATGGAGGATTACAGTTCCTCATCCTGATACTACAAAGCGCTGTCCAGGAGCCAAAACTGTACAGTTTTAGCCCTAATTATTCCCTCAGTGATCATCTACTTAGATGTCAGGAAAGAGGTTGATTCAGTCGCTCACTTGCCAGATTGGTGTGATTCATTGTGCCTGTTCTTCTCCAGCGAAGGGAAAGCACAGTGAATAGCACAGGTCATATCCAGGCTGCCCTTCAGATATTTATGCATTTAGCATAAAGGTTTGAAGAGGGTTTTTAACTATGCTCAATTGAACGGGCTTAGACACCTCCCCTGTGAGTGGGAAGCCTGGCTTATCAGGATTACTGATTACCAGGAGAGTCCTAAGTGTGTTCAGCTGATGAGTCTTTAAAAGCCTCTCAGGCCTTCATGCTAAACATGCGAAGATCTGAAGAGCAGTCTGCGTGCCAGGCGACAAGGTGGGTGAGATGAGTGGGGCTGCCACTGCCTCGTTCCTAGTTTAATTCTTCACATGTCAAGATGAATTTCTGAACCTGGATTGGTTCTTTTTACCACTACACTATTTTAAAAGGTAAAGGGACCCCTGACCATTAGGTCCATTCGTGACCGACTCTGGGGTTGCGGCGCTCACCTTGCTTTACTGGCCGAGGGAGCCGGCGTACAGCTTCCAGGTCATGTGACCAGCATGACCAAGCCACTTCTGGCGAACCAGAGCAGCGCATGGAAACACCGTTTACCTTCCCGCCGGCGCGGTAACTATTTATCTACTTGCACTTTGACATGCTTTCGAACTGCTAGGTTGGCAGGAACAGGGACTGAGCAATGGGAGCTCACCCCGTCACGGGGATTCAAACTGCCAACCTTCTCATCGGCAAGTCCTAGGCTCTGTGGTTTAAGCCACAGCGCCTCCCACGTCCTTAGGTACTTCATAAATTAGGGTTGCCAGAGTGAGGCTGATATACCTCACATATCACAGTGTTCCGTCATGGTGTCCCGTTGCACCACAAGCGGTTTAGTCATGCTGCCCACATGACCCGGAAGACTGTCTGTGGATAAACACTGGCTTCCTCCACCTGAAAAGCAAGACGAGTGCCACAACCCCATAGCCACCTTTGACTGGACTTCACTGCCCAGGGATCCTTTACTTTTTACCTATCTCATGTCAAAGTACAATTTATTCCAAGAACAATACAAATCGATGAAGTGGTTATATAGATTAACAAAGACCTAATAAATTTTGCAGGGAGTTCTCTGGTGTGTGTGCCTGGCGGTGGTGTATGTTATCCAAAGCCTGGTTTAGGCTCCTATCTCCAGAAATACAGCAATAAGGGATGCAGTTAGAACCCCCTTTTCTATCTTGAGAGGGTTTAATTTCAGTTCAATATGCCTCTAGAAAGAACTATAATTGTATAAAGAAAAACTACCGTATTTTTTGCTCTATAAGACTCACTTTTCCCCTTCTAAAAAGTAAGGGGAAATGTATGTGCGTCTTATGGAGCCAATGCAGGCTGCGCAGCTATCCCAGAAGCCAGAACAGCAAGAGGGATTGCTGCTTTCACTGTGCAGCGATCCCTCTTGCTGTTCTGGCTTCTGAGATTCAGAATATTTTTTTTCTTGTTTTCCTCCTCCAAAAACTAGGTGTGTCTTGTGGTCTGGTGCGTCTTATAGAGCGAAAAATACGGTACATGAAAATCTGTTTTGGTTCCCCATGGTGTTGTGTGCTGCCTTTATACATAACCAGGAGTCAAGATGTAATTTAGAAAAATGGTCCTATTAAAAACAATAGCTAAGGATAAGTAGGCTCTAGGCTATGGTTCTCTACCAAAGACAATACCAGCTGCGCACATGACAAGGAAGATGCATGGCCAGAAGGTAAACATTATTAATGAAAGGGTCTGTCATTGCACAGATACAGTAAAGAGATAAAGTGAGTAAAAAGAGTAAAGTGAGTCGAGTGAATCGACAACAGAATTTCAATTTTTACCAAAAGGTTGCATGAGTTTTCACAAGGCCCTCTTGACACACCTAGCTGAATTTTGCAGATTGCTACCTGTAGACTCAACCTATGTAATTCGTGCTATCTGCGTAATACAGGAATAGTGGTTAGTGCTATGAAAACTCTAAGAAGCAGGACTGGAAAGAGAGTCTCCCTCCCCAAGGCATCATTTCAGACAGAAGGATACAATCAGTGTGGCTGTTGTTTAACCACCTACAGTGGTACCTCAGGTTAAGTACTTAATTTGTTCTGGAGGTCCGTTCTTAACCTGAAACTGTTCTTAACCTGAAGCACCACTTTAGCTAATGGGGCCTCCTGCTGCCGCCGCGCCGCCGGAGCATGATTTCTGTTCTCATCCTGAAGCAAAGTTCTTAACCCGAGGTACTATTTCTGGGCTAGCGGTGTCTGTAACCTGAAGCGTATGAAGCGTATGTAACCCGAGGTACCATTGTATAGCTACTTATCTCCTTGGCTTGGGGGGGGGGGCTCATAACTCCATACCCTCCAACATTTCTCCAATAAAAACAGGGATGCTCCAAGGAAAAGTGGGACATTCCGGTATCAAATCACAAACTGAGATGGTTTCTGTAAATCGTGATCTGTCCCTGGAAAATAGGGACGTTTGGGAGGGTCTGCTCGGAGTTTGTTGTGGGGAAACAAATCAGATGAAGGCATCCCCACCTGTTCTACTGTGTGTACAGCAATGTAAAATGTGACTTGAAATGCAGGGAAAGGGAGACCTCGTTGTACTTTAAGCTGGTAATGTGTACATAATATTAGATATGACATGGAGACAGCACACTCATTTGCACCCAGAACAAGCTACAGCACTATCTAATGTGACAAGCCTACAGTAACTCCTTGGTGCTCTTCCAGCCTCATGGTTCAGAAACCCTAACCCTAACCCTTCCTAGTCAACTATTTACGTAATACTTGCTATACCAACCTGCACATCCAACAAAGCTGGCTCTAAGTCCACTAGTATTGTCTATTATTATTATTATTATTATTATTATTATTATTCCCTCCCCCAAAAAGCAATTCTGCACCATTCAGCTGTTCACAATATGCCCATGATTGGATGCAGGAACATAACTCCTGAATCAGTATGAAGTGACAAAGTATGACGCTGCAGGAACTGAACCCTTCAATGTGCTCTAAGTCAGGGGTCAGCAACCTTTTTCAGCTGTGGGCCAGTCCACTGTCCCTCAGACCATGTGGTGGGCTGGACTATATTGGGGGAGGGGGAATGAACAAATTCCTATGCCCCACAAATAACTCAGAGATGAGTTTTAAATAAAAGCACACATTCTACTCATGTAAAAACACGCTGATTCTCGGACCGTCCGCGGGCCGCATTGAGAAGGCGATTGGGCTGCATTCGGCCCCCGGGCCTTAGGTTGCCTACCCCTGCTCTAAGTCCTAATGTACTTTTTGTATTGCTGACATTCCTTTGAGTCAATTTGGCCTTCAGTGACTAGCTGAGAAACTCTTTTACTGCTATTTCCTTTGAGCCATTCTTTTCCTGGAATGACGAACATAAAATTCACTTCACAAAATAACTGAAAATTTTGTTCCTTTGAACGTTCTAGTGCAACAAAAAGGGAACCATCTCCCAAGTACACCCACCCACACCCACCCACCCTTTCATAGTGGCAAAATAGCATAATATTGTTAAGAGAAACAACAATGAATTGTTCCTTGATTAGACTTTATGCCTAAAATTGCAACGTTTTATTTTATTTACCTTTAAAATAAATCAAAATACAGTGGTACCTCGGGTTACATACGCTTCAGGTTACATACGCTTCAGGTTACAGACTGTACAATCTTTAGAAGACATCTGAAGGCAGTCATGCATAGGGAAGATTCTGTTTAATGTTCAGTGTTTTATTATGCTTCAATATATGTTGGAAGCCTCCCAAAATGGCTGGGCCAAAGTAGTCAGATGGATGGGTTATAAATAATAATAAAATTATTATGTTTATTATTATTATGGAATAGGACGTCCCTATTTTTCATTGGAGAAATGTTGGAGGGTATGCTATTGAATGAAGCTGTGGCTAATGCAGTGTGTACTCTGCTTCACAAACCAGTGGTGGGAATGTGCTGGAGCAAGAGCAAATGGCAAGGTGTACAGAGCATAAGAGTGTGCAGCAACAGCAGCGGTTGTTTGTCAGATGCAGAAGACGGTGTAGGGAATGACTGCCCTGTCCTCTTTCTTTATGAATATACGTTTTCAAATTATGACAATATAGAGCCATCTATGTGCAATCAAGCCCTCCTACTAATGGTTGCTTTGATGCATATGCCATGTAAACATTGCTGACAGGTTTAACAACACCTGTTGGGATTGGGGACATGGATGTGCTGTACATACAGTTGCAATCATCAGCCGGCTTCCTGCCAGAGCTGTTGGATGATCCAAGATTTATTCTTTTGAGGTTTAAGGCCCTGCGGGCTTTTCCGACTTGACAAGGTGCCCATTCCTGCATATAAAAGAAATGTGTGTGGAGAACACAAAGAGACCAGGTAGAAACACAATGTCTATTTTTATCGGGGAGTGCTTATTGATTTGGAACACAGTTTTTGACTTCTTTTTTAAAGAGTCACAAAAACCATGGGTCGCAGGTTATTTCCATTGCTGTTCTGTACAAGGTGTACATAGTCATTGGCTTTAGAAATAACATCAATGCAGTATATTCATGTGGTGTTTAATGGTATTGTGGTTGTTTTGTTTGCTTTTGCATATTTTTTCCTTCTCTCTGGCACTTAAGCTATATCTCAGCTACAAATCCACATTAGACCCTTTGCAGAGTCTGAACATGTTCTCCAGGAGAAGGCTTGACTTCTCCTCCTCCCCATCATTCTTATGACTCCCAGCTGAGGTAGGCACACCTGCCATAGGAAGAAGCACCACTGCAAAATTATTCTCAAGCCTGGTACCCCAGAAGCCCCTTCCCCTCACAGCACAGTTCATGGAGTGTATCAAACACCAGAAACTACCATTTCACGATCCTACATATCTCCAAAGCTATGTCTAGATTTGCCAACTCTTCATTTTTACAAGTTGCTGATTCCCCCAGGTGAAGCAGAGGGACAAAGCCAAAGCAGTACAAAGGTTTTAGCCAGGCATGTCACCTTGATGAATCATGGGTGTTAGAAACAGAGCAGAACTTGGTGGGTTGTGGTGGTGCACAGCCTGGTGGAATCTAGTAGCTAGTAGGTGCAACCTGGCAATGTCAAAAATGATCTCTTAGGCTGGCTCCAAAAGTAACTAATTTTCAGGCTTCAGTTATCCCAGAATATGCTTTTCTAGTCAAATTAACAGTTTGATGGATGCTTAACAAGACTTGTCAAGTCCTAAATTACTTCTGTCTGGAGGTAGGTGGTTAGGATACGTGATAACATGCCAACACTGGCTTCCTCTATCCTCTCCTGGGATCACATGTACTAGTTTCACATTATCTTACACCTTATCATGGTGATGCAAGAAGCAGGAATCTTAAACATTTGCACAGGAACGACAAGCTGGCATGCCCCACTAAAGGTTTTTTTTGGCAATTTTAACTTCCAGTTGTGTAAACCCCCAGGATCACTCATATTTTCCCCCTTGTGATATTACGTACATCTCTCCATGTAATTTGATCTCTTGTTCATATCTAAGACCCCAAACACTCCCAAGGCTACATGCACACTTATCAGAAAGCAAATGCCTATGAACTTTGTGGGTAGGTATGCAGAGGACTTGCCTATCCATTTTAGCCTATCAAAGCTTTGTGCATGCTAACTTGTAATGCTAGTAAATAAGGAAATGAAACAAGGAAACGTTGCAGCTAAGTAAAGTACATTTGGAAGATATGCTCCAATATTAGGTGTACATTTGAGATACACTAGTGACTAGTACACACTGTTAAGAACTTAAGTGCTCTACCAATCAAACATGTGCTGCCCAAAGTCATAGGATTAGGCACAGTACAGTTGCTTCTCATCATTTGAATGCTTTTAATTGAATTGTTTATACTTTCATCATCTGGGAAATGGCATGCTCTCCCTCGCTTTTATTTGGGACGCAAATAGAAATTACTGAACTCTATCCCTCTTTCCTCAGCTCAATGTTATGTGAGATTAGAGATTTGTTAAAAAAAACCAAATACAAAAAACCAAAAACCAGGACTCTCTTCTACAGAGTTTGTGTTAAGGAGCCAAGAGCTGGAGAAGTCACAAGGTTCTAGGAACGTCAACCTTGTTGATTTGGAGGATTTGGTGTAGAAAAGGTGAGAGATATGAACTCTAAACTCCAAATCAAACAGTAAATGTAAAGGGCAGGATCTAAAAGTATATTTGAGCCCAGAGTAAGGGTATCCTTACATATAGTGCTGCCATATATTCAGCATCCCATAACAGCCCTGGTGACTGGCTGGTAAGGTAGTTTGCATGGTTGGCCCTGTCAAGTGGTCATTAAGGAGCATGAACTGATGGCCCTACCAGCAAGCAACACAAGTGTCATGAGTCCACAATGGTCAGTGAGCCACCAGGCTTCTCCCTGATGGTGGCCTAGTGGGCCTTGCATGGGACTTGTGGCAGTTTCCCATCATGCAAATGACCTAATTGACATCCACTTGGCTACATCATTGCGCATTTCCACACTACTCACTGGGTCCAATGAGTATTATCAAGAATTATTGGTCCAATTCAGACATAACAGCAAAACATAGTTGGCTATCATGAGACCAAGGAGCAAGCAACACACATTGGACTCTTGTATTCTATCCTTCCCATCCTTCACATGTGAAAGAAGGAGATTAAAAGCTTCTGCTTCAATTTTGTGGCAAGCCATAGCCTGTTGTTTTGTCCACACAAGACACATAGCTGATGCAAACCATAGTTGCTTTGCTCCCAAACCAGGATTATATTGAACTGTGGTCAGGTATTCTGGTTTTAATGCAAACCAATGTTTTGCAAAAACTGGAAGCAGGAGCAGGACGATCATCAGGCATCCGCACAACATGACCAGTCCAACGAAGTTGATGTTGAAGAATCATTGCTTCAACACTGGTGATCTTTGCTTCTTCCAGTACACTATTAGTTCGCCTGTCTTCCCAAGTGATGTGTAAAATTTTTCAGAGACAGTGTTGATGGAATCTTTCGAGGAGTTGGAGACGGCGTTTGTAAGTCGTCCATGCTTCACAAGCATATAGTAAGGTTGGCAGTACAATAGCTTTGTAAACAAGCATTTTGGTTTCCCTGCGAATGTTTCGGTCCTCAAACACTCAGTGCTTCAATCGGGGGAAAGTCGCACTGGCAGAGCTCAAGCGATGCTGGATTTCGGCATCAATGTTGGCCCTTGTGGGAAGATAACTGCCTAGGTAGGAGAAAGGATCAACATTTTCCAACGTTGCACCACTGAGTTGGATTTGTGGCACTGCAGAGGGGCTATTTTGTACTTGTTGGTGCACAAATATATAATAAAACGACTGCAGGATTATTCTCTTTAACAAGCTTATACATCAAATCTAAGCTGCTAGAAAAATACTTCAACAGAGGAAATGATTCCACTTATGTCTGTTATATATGAGGAACAGAAGAGTTTCAGCATGAATTCACACAGAGCTAAGGATGGGATGTGCATAATTTGGTTTGTTGACCTTTGGCCAGTGCTTTGATTGCCATCTCCAGAGACAGATTCAGTTATGACATTTCTCTCCTGACAGCTTGTTTTTCATGAAAAATGAGGTAGGTAGATTAGATTTTATAGCACATCGCCACTGAGAACATATTGCGCCATGCAGTCAAATATGTTGCAAGAGGACGCGTTTGTGTTTTCATTTAGTTCGTGCAGCAGCAGAATTCTCCTATCAGCAGCCAGGTCCCAGGAGTTCCCAAGGGTTTAAAAATGTTTTAAAAGGCTTATTTAAAAAAAAAAAAAATTAACAGGAAGAAAGCACACAAAAGGTATGTCTTAAACAAAGCTAGGCCCACATGGGAAAATATGATGCGGCTGACTTTGCAGAAATGAAAAATCAGGGTGCAAGAAAGGAGGAACAGGCAGCAGGTAGACCCTGCAAAAGAAGGCCAGACATGTGAAACCTTCCTCAGCCCTCACCCAACACACATTTGAGAGCAACAGCTCTAAGAGGATTTGGAACTGGAGAAGGAAGTTTTGAAAAACCATAGAAAAGGAAGGAAAAACTCTATTTACTCACTGCTGATTGCACTTCCTGTTGTGACCTCTCAACGTTCTTTCATAACCTTCCAGGGGGTGGTAAAATCCTGAGCCAGAATAAAGAACAAGGTTTCTTCGTAGGACATCTTTAGACCTTATACTAGCTCAGGCCTACTGGTGCCTGTATGTAAAGAGCTGCTACTTGAGTGGCTCAATAATTACTTGACTAACGCTCCCAATTTCTCCTTTCTGCCCCACTTAACTATACCTTCCTCGACCCCCAAAAAGGTCAAGAGTGGCTGCTTGATGAGTGTCTTTCAAGTGGCAGTTATTTACGTATATGCCTTGCAATGGGCATGCTGGGAAATAAAGCCAGATCTCATGCTTGCCTCTTGAAAGGTACTTGGCACCCATTCCAGAGGTTCTGGCAGCGGATGGGCAGATGGGCCTCCCAAGGCAGTATGGCTCTGATGCTTCTTAATAGGGTGGGAAAGAAGGTCGGAATGCAGTAATAATATCTGGCAGGCCCATTCCTTCTGGGCTTCTTACTGATGCTGCCTAATTGCAGGCTTACATTGGAAACCTGACCTGACCCTATTATCTCTGTGCCTCCCTGAGATGATCTTCAGTTTAAAATTAATGGAAGCCGGAAAATGATTGGGTGGAAGCCTCTTGGCGTAACCTGGACCAAGGAGCCCTGAAGACCGAAACAGGAATACATTTGGCTCCCTCACTCCCTGTCCCTCCCATGGGAAAAGGCAGAAGGGGAATACTATAATCAATTAAACAAAAAGGAAAGCATTGTTGTACCATTATTATTACTGCATTTATGTCTCACCCTTCCTCCAAGGAAAAAGAAAGAATGGGAAATACCACGGTTATCACAGCAACAACGAATCATTTATTATATTCTCTCCTCCCCTCTCTCTCCCTCTCTCTCTCTATATAATAATAATAATAATTTATTATTTGTACCCCGCTCATCTGGCTGGGTTTCCCCAGCCACTCTGGGCGGCTTCCAACAAAGGTTAAAAATACATTAAAAAAAAACTTCCCTGAACAGGGCTGCTTTCAGATGTCTTCTAAATGTCAGGTAGTTGTTTATCTCTTTGACATCTGATGGGAGGGTGTTCCACAGGGTAGGCGCCACTACCAAGAAGGCCCTCTGCCTGGTTCCCTGTAGCTTTGCTTCTCGCAGTGAGGGAACCGCCAGAAGACCCTCTGCCCTGGACCTCAGCGTCCGGGCAGCGTCCTCCAAGAAGCTCAAGGCATAAATGGTTTGCACATGTCCCCTATAGTCTCACAGCAGCCCTGTAAGGTAGGTTAGGATGAGAGGCAGAGCAAAACTAGCCTAAGCTATTAATGAGATAAATGTAAAACAGAAATTGCAAATACATCCCATGGCTGGTTTTTTTACAAGCACTCTGTGATTGGATTTAGGGGCTTGGATTGTCTGCTGCAGACCATTTACTCAACAATCCATTCAGCAGCTGAAACAAACTCCTTACGTATATTAGTGGTTCCCAAAACTTCCTCCCCAAGGACCCCTTGATGTTTGTTGAGGGTCTTGGCAGACCACTCTACAATTTCAACAGCAGGCAGGAAAAATCATTATGTGCTGTATGATTTTTAATTGTATTTTTACAGTCACACTGTGGGCCGCCTGAACTGTAGCTCACGGAGATCCATGGGCCACTGTTTGGGAACCCCTGGGTTATATGGCATGAATATACCGTACATACAGACTTAAAGATCCTATTTTGCAAATGCATGCTGTATAAATAAGCTGCAAACACAATCAATCAATCAATCAATCAATCAATCAATCAATGGTTTTCGAAGGCTGAAGAAACGGAGGGGTGTGTGACCAAAAACAAAAATGCCACATTTGGGGCCCTGAAGGCACCCCAAATTATATCAGGAGAGGGGGCTCCAAACATGCTGCTCTCCAATCAGACACTTCCCTTCCCCTGAATGGCTGGGTTATCATTTCTCTGTCAGCCACTGTTCCAGCCAGGTTACCACCCTCACTACCCAACCGAGCCTCACCTAAGAAATGTAACCCTGCACAGCTAGAATATATATGCATAGAGTCTATGCATGTGGCCTTTTGGACTGTGTACACATCTCGCATTTAAAGATTGTTCCCTTCCCCTCACAAAAATAAAAGATTATGGGAATTGAAGTTTACCCTACCCAGAACTACAATTACCAGCACCCTAAAGCTACAGTTCTCAAGAACCTTTGGTTGGAGGCTGGGGCGGCAGATGTGCTTTAAATGTAGAGTGTGAATGCCTAGATAGATCAATTGGTTAAGAGTGTGGTGCTGATAATGCCAAGGTTGTAGGTTGCAAGTTTGATCCCCGTGCTGGACAGCTGTATGTTCCTGCATGGGAGGGGGTTGGACTAGATGATCCCCAGAGTCCCTTCCAACTCTGCAATTATATGATTCTATGCTGCCTTGGGAAATACGGTGGTGATGGCCTCAAACCTCCCTAGGCGTCTCACTCCTTTTGTGAAATGGTGAGGCTGGACTTCGGTTGCTTAGTTAGGAGGCTTGTGAAAGAACCCTGTTGCAGGAAATGAACGCAATCCCGCACAGCCAGAAGCACACTATCAGATGTTGCTGTGTTGCCTAAGGGCAGGGTCTTGTGCTTGTGGCCTAACTGTGTGGTAGTAGAAATAAATGAGGCTGTTCTAGAATACCACAGAGGAAAGGAACCCTTGCCTTGGATGTGGTGAGAGAGCTCACTGCAGCTTGGCTTATTTATGCCTTGAGAAGAGTGTTAAGGAGAATAGGAAAGGCCTATGGCTATCCAGTATTACCATTCAAAAGAAGGAACTGAAAATGTGGGATTTGCACACCTGTATATTAGAAGGTTTCACTGCACCCTGGACCTGGCAGCTGCATTTATTAGACTTTAGGATGAAGATAGACACTTGTAGTAGGAGGGCAAAGAGCACTGCTAATAATTCCTCAGGTTTATGTAAACTTGACTTCTATAGAAACAGAACATCCTATTGTACTTTTATGCTTGGTTTTTCTATTATCCTTGTGCCTGATCTTGCCTTTGTTATACCTGGCATAAATAGTTTAAGGAGGTTTCTGAGTGGGGGGAAATATGCCAGTGGAGAGACGTGCCATTTAAAAAGTTCAATTTTCTGAAAAAAAAAACTGAATATTCCTTGGTTTACAAAGTAATAAAAGCATTGTGGTTTGGTGTGTTATTCAATTGCCAAGGCGAAAAAACAAAAAGGCAATTAATCTCTGAAGAGTAAGTTCGTGTGCATGTGTAAAAACATGGATAATAATGTGCTATATTCGAAATTCTGTATTCCCAATTGAAAGCCCATCTCCCTTTCTACTGGAGTATTTTAACCATTTGTAAATTCCATGTGGAATCCCCATGTGGAAGAGGCCAGTTCACTTCTGCATTACTGAGGAATAAGAGCAAGTAAACTAAAAGTATCAGTTACGGGAATGTTTACGAAGTGAATCCAAGTGGATTAAGTACCAGGGACACACCCACACTGCAAACATGATGTCAACTGAGTAATAAAGTCTACTTGGGAACAGCAGCGAAGGAGCTGCAATAAAACACAGGATAGGGATCAGAAGTATGCATTACGAATCCTTCTTTCTGAGCTACAGCAACAGCAAGAAACAATCTCTGATGTTTGCAGACAGTTTATTAGGCAATATTTATAATACAAATATATATTTGGATGCTTGTGAGCTCTGCTTAGGCACCTTAAGTAATCACAACTGCATGCACTGGAGTGTATTTTCAAAACTAGTTTTGCACAGATGCGGCGGGGGAAGGGGAAGAGTTGCACTGGGAGACCTAGCCAACCCAACGCTTAATTTGTGCAAGGGATACGGTGTGTAGAGGAGAATGCCTCTGTGCATGTTCAAAGTAGTTTTCTATCACTCATAGATACATTTAGGATTGGAGGGAAGAATGTCTAGGTCATAAGGTGTGATAGCCAGGAAGTATGGCGTGACCTTTTTTCTTGCTGTGGAAATTAAGCACTGCCCTTATCTTGCTTTGCAGTGCCTTAGAATCAAAGAATCATTGTAGAGTTGGAAGGGACCCTGAGGTGCAACGCCCTGCAATGCAAGAATACACAGCTGTTCATACAGGGGTTGAACCTGCAACCTTGGCATTATCAGCACCACTCTCTAACCAGCTGAGCTATCCAGCCTTGTCATGTTCTTTGCAGACATAAAGGCTAAAGGTTCAGGGCAGCTTTGGCTTCGTGTGTGTGTGTGTGTGTGTGTGTGTGTGTGTGTGTGTGTGTAGCCACTAATCAAGTAAGTGTGGCCACTTGAATTTGGAGCCACACAGAAGCTATTGGTGTAAAGTTCATAGTTGTAGTGATTTTCTCCCTGCCATTGGTGTGAGCACACACACACATGCCACATGAACTGCATTTCAGACAGCTAAGTGAACTGTACAACGTTTTGGAGTCTTGAACCAGGGAACAAAAAGCTATATGGAGGTTTCCAGTACCTGCAACTAGAAAGTATCAGAACCAGCCCTAACATTAGACAAAGTGAGGCATCTGCCTCAGGCAGCAGTTGCTGGGGGGCAGAAATGGCAGCCCCTGGCTATTCCTCCTAGGTCTGAAAGTAATTCCCCTCTGTTGGAGGACAGAAGCTTGTATACAACAGAGTCTGTCCTTGCTGCCTTCAGTGCAGTACAGGATGCAATCCCATCACCACATTACAGTAAGAATCAGCTGTTGGTCCAGCTGGCTTCCATACATTGGGATATGGAGAAGAAGCCTTCTTGTCCTTTGCCTCAGGCGGCAAAATGTCTTGGGCCAGCTGGAAAGTGCTATGATCTTCCTACCTCACTATGCCACTTCTTATGGATTAGCTACAGTTACATTCATCTGTCACTTCAGAAAGCAAAAGTCTGTTCAGTTCCTTTTTATTTTAAGGCTCCAGAGAAGATCATCGTGCTCCTTTGTCCCTTGAGTGCGTGAGAAACACATCAGTGATGGGAACGAGAAAATTCACGACTCCTGTCTTGACCGAACATGTTCCTGAGATTGGCTGATTTTTTGCACGTTGCCACAAAAAAACCATGCCATTTGACACACTGCAGATCTGACAACTGCATTTTGCTTACTTCCATGACTCAAGGCATCCATATTCTGTAATGAAGCTAAAACAGTCAGTGACAAACTATTCCATGGCTTATTGTATAGGACTGCATACATACTGTGGTCTCATTTGTTCTATGAAGGCACACAGCATGTCAGGGTCAAGGCTGGGGATTCCTCCCTATAGGTAAAGAATGAAGAAGCTGGGTAAAGATACCCAAAATGTCTATGTACTGACATTCATGGGCTCTGGAATGTCCTGCCCTGGGACATCCATTTGGCCATCTCCCTTATTTTTTTATTTTAAAAAGGTTATCCTTCAGTGGTAATCTCTCAGGGAAACAGAAAAAACAACAATAAGGAAGTATCAATATAATATCACAATCTTCTGCACAAAAATCCAGCACCTAAATTCAGCTGAACAGATAAAGCTAGCATTATAAACTAGCTTATATGTCGCATCGTGATAGAGTGCCCAGGCAAATAAACATGTCCTTGCCTGGTGCTGGAAAGGGAACAAAGGGCAAACTTCCCTGGGAAGGGCATTCCATGGAAGCCATGTATGTCCTCCTCTCTCCAGTCACCATTCACCGCCCACCTATTTTTACAGGATAGTGGGGTGATCCACAGGACAGCCGCAGATGCTGAAAGGCTTAGGGCCAGGATACCTTAAGGACTGCTACCCACCAAAGGACCTGGCCTACTTTCTGAAATAATCTGTAAACCTCTGTTTTCCTGCTGCTGTCAATGAATCTGACTCTAATTAAGCTGTGTTGATGTGAACAGCTGGGGGAGAAGTGATGAGAAATTGCACCACAAAAACAACCAAGAACTTCACTGCGCTCTAAGTCAGTAATGCAAACCCCTCCCTTGATTTACTGGACTGCACATCACACAAACACACACACCTTGGGAGTACAGTGGCACCTTGATTCTCAAGTCCGTTCGACTCCCGAAACCATTTAAAAACCAAAGCACGGCTTCCGATTGGCTGCAGGAGCTTCATGCACTCAGACGTGTCAGAGGTTCGGATTCCTAAAAATGTTTGCAAACTGGAACATTTACTTCCAGGTTTGTGGCATTCAGGAGCTGATTTGTTCAACAACTAAGCTGTTCGAGAACCAAGATACCACTGTATAATTGAATTACCTTTCGCTCCTCATTAAACAAACCTTTACAATGCAGACAAACCTTTAAAACCCCCATATGTTTATGCGTTTCACTGCAGCAAACTTCCTGTGCAAGGTATTTGGTGTGTGGGTGTGAATGCACACACAGGCATACACAGCAATAAGCAGTCACACTGCAATTTTGTTTTCCGTTGCCTAAATCAAATACAAGCATAAACTCCTGCTTACTTTGGTTGTTTTATAGGTATAATTGAAATGTATAATATCTCAGATGTAATTATTCACATCTAATGGGCATGGATCATCTTTCACCTTTTACCCATCAGCCCTTGTTGTCAGCAGATGTCTCAAGGACAATGCAATCAATTGATGGGGGAAGTGAGAGAGAGACTGGGAGGGAGACTCTCTCCTTTTACCTCAGCGTGAAGTGCAAGTTTCTGCTCTTTTGTCTGCTAGATATAGCTGCAGAAATGGATGAGGCCGCAAATGTGAAACCACTGTACTTGCCTGCAATTTCATTAATGTGGCTCATTGTGCTTCGCGCCTACTAGACGAGAGAAAAAAATGTGATGGTACAAGTAAGCTACACACGGTGCCTTTCTGACAATTATGATTCATGAAGCCTTCAAGATGAGGAGGAGATCGGAGCACTGGGGAAGCCAAATAGGTGAGGGAAAGTACAAACCTCTCACATTTTGAGTGATTGGGCTACATTGGCGGAGCCAGCCTTGCAGCTCCTAGCACAGCTTGCAGCAGACATGCGGCACAGTAGCAGCTCACCCCTGCGCTACTTACTCAAGACAAAACATAGTAAGTGTGCATAGAATTCCAGCCTGAAGGGTTAACTAATTCACTGAGCTCATCCTATGATCCCTATATTATCCTTCTTCCCACAACCCACTTCTCCCACCATGAAGTGTCAACCATAGGACATCAATCAGGGGCATTTGTGTGCACGCTTGCATTTTACAGTCTAGCTTACTTCACAGGGTGGCTGTGACTCAAAGTGGGTTTGTTGCCAAGGGATTTTGGGAGATGATTTACAATGAGACAAAGAAAATATTTAAGGTGACTCTTCCATAAAGACCAGAAGCCTTTCTCTTAGAGATAACTGGGGTAGATGAACCAAAAAAGCAGATGAATATATATATATATATATATATATATATATATATATATATATGCAACAACCGCAGCGAGAATACTATACGCACAAAAATGGTGAAATGCGGTGGTACCTACTAAAGACGACTGGCGGGTGAAATTGATGGAATATGCTGAATTGGTAAGTTTAACAAGTAGCATTAGAGATCAGGATGAGGCAGACTTTAAGGAAGAGTGGATAATGTTTGTGTATTGTTTAAAAATATATATTTGTAAACATGTTAAAATGCAAGTAGGCTTTGAATAGCAGTAAAATTGTTTCTGAGAAAATTGTGGTGGAGAATATAATAGGCAGCAATAGTTGGAATTTTGGGGAAGCCATGGAGGGATGGAGGGTAAGTCCAATGTTAACCGACTGTTAATTGGAAAATGATGTTATATGTGTCTATCTATCATCTATCTATTATCTATCTACGAACAAACTGGGTGTGGGGAAACCATCTCCCTTGCCCTGAGCTCTTTAGAGAAAAGGGTTCAGAGGATGAGATGTAACAAAATTATGTAAGGTCAGTGAGATCACATTAACTGCTTTGCTGCTGGAAAAGGTTTTGGAATGAAGGACAACTCCGGCCGGCTTTTTCACCCTCACAGAATTCATTAGCTCATGAAATATTAACTTCTGCTTGACAAGAGTTCAGCAATCAAAAAACGATTCTGTCAAGATGGCTTCTTTTGAAATTGCAGCTCGAAAGGTACTCTGTGTTCTTGCTTGACAGCGTTAGATGTTCTCTTGCTTTGCAAAGAGAGAACACATGGTTAGCCGTTTCCTTCCCGTGCTGAACATGTCATATGAGGAGTTAAAGCTGTGGCTGGTATGCGTATAGAACAAAACAGCAGCAGAGGGAGGCGGGAGAGAATGTAGTTCCCTTTTCCTTGGGCTTTGCAGAATACTCTGTGCAGTATTCTTAATTGATTGTTATAAGCAGAGAATTTCCGCGGGCTGAGCCATGAGCTGCATTTAAATAAGAAGCTTTTGCCTCCTCTTTTCAGACTTCATATTCTTGAGTACGCTCTGGCAGCCTTCCAAGACAGTGCTTGAAATTCCAAAATGAAATTTCATTTCCGGATCTCCACTTACTGGCATCCTGGGGGAGACAGTTAGAGGTGAAAAGGTTGTTGGGAGGGGGACACAAAGGCGTGGCAGCCTTTGAGCATTTAAGTGGCATAGCTCAGATAAATCTGCAGCATAATTGACCAAAGGATGTCGGGAAAGGTATGGGAGGCTGCCTCTGTTGCTTTTCTGCAAGGCTTATGCACGGAAAGAAAAGAACACCCCTAAGAGGAGCAAGACCCGGCTCCCACGCAGCTTGCTGGAAACCAAATGTTACAATGAAGAAACATCCAGGATTGATTCATTAAGAGGCGGAAAAACCTCCCCCATGCCTAAGAACGAACCCTATAATTCAAACATTCAAACTCAAAGAAGGCTTGCCAGCTTTCTTGCTGCTCTCAGGCCGCTCAACACCCAGATACTTAGGAGAGGCAGCTTTTGGGAAAGAGGAAGCTGTCTGACGCTGAGGCCAGACCCCTGGTCTACCTAGTTCAGTATTGTTTTCTCTCATGACTGGCAGTGTGGCTGAGTTCCAAGACAAGTCTTTCTTCCCCTTGCCTGAACCGGGGACCTTTTGCATGCTAAAGTTGTGCTCCAAAACTGAGCAACAGCAGCCTCTTTCCTTCCCACCCTTCTCTTCCAACTTCCGCAAAATTTGCAGGGCCCTCAGGAAAACCCTTAAGCCATCACAGCTTCCCACTTTGTCATGCAGAATCCTGATTTCCCACCTTTGTTGAGGTATGCTAACCGGAAATGGCTTCACGTTGGGGGAAGCAGGGGGAAGAGAGAGTTGCCAGCTGAGGCTACCCTTCCTTTGCCACCATTCCTGACAGTCGGAGAAGACTGGGTGTGGTGGGGGGAAGAAGGAGGAGTCTTGTGCTAGGTCCAAGGGAGGGAGCCAAGCCGGCCAGCCAATGGAGCAGCAGCGGGAAGAGGAGGAGGTAGAATGGGGAATGAGGCAATGGGGACATTGCTGCCACTGTCCCCACTATGAGAGGCTGTGACTCTCTGGCCACCCAGCCATGTCAAATAAAAATAAGGAGGTCAGGCTTGAAGAGCAGGCAGTGGTTGGAGGGGAGACCCTGGGCAGCAGCAGGGCCTGGGTTGGTGAGGTGGAGGAGAAGGGTGTAGCTGGTAGGGTACAGGAAGGCCTGTGGGGTTGCTGTTTGATGGGGGGCAAAAATGTTATGGGGTTCAAGGGTTGGTACTGGAGCTGGCTGGGCTTCAGGTGGGTTGTCTGTATCATGAAAACTTTAAGAAAAATATTTATCAATCAAGATCCTTTATTAGGCATAGCAAACCACACATTATCAAACAGACACCATATACAAAATGTGCAAAATTCGAACTCAACATAACAAGGTTTGTCCCACAACAAAACAACAACAAAACAAAAAGTTCCCCCCCAAAACCTGGCAGTGATACTGATATAGAATAATAGAATGCCCCTATTTTCATCTGAGGAATGTTGGAGGGTATTTCTTCATGCCTGCAAAAGTTCCATTTCCTCCCAGCCCCAGCATGTCTCTGTGTAGGCTTAGCACAAGACACGATTCTACCCCAATTAATCTTCCAAGACCTTTTCCCAATATCCATTTTTAGATTGAAATGAGCTGCAGATTGGGCTTAAAACCATTATCACCTGCCAGAAACTTCTTTCACATTACTGTTTGCACATCCAACAGTTGAAGAGGAGAACTGTGTAACTCAAATGCTTATATGCCACATTGTGAACTTTAGTTGGTGCTAATGAATGTGGTGTTTTACTGCTTTGGCTTGCTTTCAGCATGCCTGAATTCTGTTAAAGGTGCGCCACAGTAAGGTCCATAAAAAGGCAGCAGCCTAGGTTACACCACAGCAGGATTATTTGCAAGAATGTGGCATAATTTGTTAGCAATTTGTTAGCAAGAGGATTATACTATCGGAGGTGTAAGACTTGGCAGTATTACTCTGAACCTCATGCCTGCTTTATGGACGGTTAATTGATTTCCTCTTGAAATAGTGGATGGGCTTGATATTTTTGAGGCCTGGTTCTATGTGCGTAATTATGATTGAAAGTAAAAGAGAGAAGCCCTTGAATATGGTACAGTGCACTATTAATTGGTAGATCTGCAGGAAACAGACAGACCTTCTGGGAACTTCCTGTTTTCTGTGCTTCTCTGCAGCCTGTGCTAAATGAGTCATTGGTGGTTTGCAAAGTCACTAGGTTAAAGAGGGCTCTGCAGCCAGCACTGCTGCAGGATTGCTGAGCTGATGGCAACGTCTAGGGTAGATTCATTCCTTGATCCAGACCAGGATTCCTGAGTGCTCTGGCCTCAGCATAGACTGGTCCACCCAAGGAATTTACAGAGCATTCTCGAAGGAAGAACACCAGTCGGGTATGTAACTGTGAGCAATGAAAGTAAAAGAAATCTCTTAATTTAAGAACCATAGTCTCAGGGCTTATCCACACTTTACACTTTGAAGCTTTGCACGGATGATAATGTCTCTAACACTAGTCAGGCAAACGATACATGGGCCTGAGACACAACGCACAGCCCATGCCAGTTCCATACATCAGCCTTGCTTCTGGCTGTTTTGACATTACAAATACTTTGTGCCTTTAGCCAACCAGCAGCAGCCCCACCCTTCCCGAATTACATCTTTAAAATGTAAGTTGGAAGAGAGTTACAGAAAAACTGGCCCTGGATCTTTGTTGCACTTTTACCCATCTCTTTCCTATATACACCAAGCACGTCTTACACTCGCTCTTAAAAATGTAATGTGCAAAAATGACCTTGTCAGCAGGTCAAATCAACACCAATAGAAAATAAAACATTGTCAAGTGGAAAAGCTTCCAGGGGGGCTCAGCAGGTATGAGCCAAGTGTATACTCTTAACAAGTGAAGAGGTTTTGAGGATTGGGTTTTAGGATGCTGATTTGTTCCTAGGCAATTGTTTTAACAGCTGTAAAAATGTGCTAAAAAAGAAAGAAAAGAAAGTGACCTCATCTTTCCATTCTTATTCAAGCCGTTTTTTATATCCTAAATGAACACGTGTGGGAAATGATTGTCTCCTTTTCCTCTCTCACCCCATGTAGTTCCGTCTCTCACATCGTTCTGTAACAGACTTTTATTTATGCTGAGAAAATAATTTGAACCGAGGGAACTGTGGATTTTTGTTCTGGCTCGCGATAATTTTGACAGCAACGGGTGAACCCAGTAATAATACAGTACGCGCAATTGTGCAGCAGGAACTCTCATGCTGGTGAGAACTTTAAACACATCCCAGATTGCCTTGCTGCGTGGCAGGTGCAATAAATGTCTAGCTCCCCGTAATACAGCAGAAGAAGAGGCTGTTGGACCAGGCCAATGGCCCATGTAGTCCAGCAACCTGTTCTCACCATGGCCAACCAGATGCCTGTTGGAAACCTGCAAGCAGGATTTTGGAGCACAAGACCGCTCTCCTCTCCAGTGGTTTCCAACAACTGGTATTCAGAAGCATTGCTTCCTCCAGCTGCGAAGGGAGAGCATAGCCATGATGGCTAGTAGCCCTCTCCTCCATGAATTTGTTCAATCTTTCAAGTTGGTGGTCATTCTAGCCTCCTGTGGAAGTGAGTTCCATAGTTCAACTGCACAAATAAATACTGCCTTTTATGTACCCAGCAATCATTTACAACTTGATAAAATGTAACCTGAGCTGTCCAGATAAAACATGAGTCACATTTCCCCCCATAATGAGGAATATCTGGCAGTATTCCCCTGCACAAGCCTTGACGGATGGAAAGCCCATGAGAAAACCCTCTTCTCTTTCTCCCAGGGTGAAACAGGAACACTGGTTACGAAGGCTGCACAAACAGTAATGACACTCGATCTCCATTTGCTGTAAGGAGTGGGGAGTGCCTGAATGGAACTCACCCAACCATTACCAGCTACTTTATGCATTGTCTTATAAACTTAAAAACCAAAGCATGCCACTGAATTTTGACAAAACTCTTGATGTGAACGTTCCCCTCTTTTCTACAAGACATTGGCTAATTCCTTTCTGGATCTGTGGAGTGCACAACTGCACTGGGCTCACACCAGCAACCACGTGTGACCAATATGTCTATAGCACTTTAAAGTCTGATTTAAATACCGCAAGGTCTGCCTCTGCCCATATGAACCAACCCAGGCTCTGCGATCATCATCTGAGGCCCTTTCTTTGTGTGCCTCCTCCATGAGCGGTCCAGAGGGTGGCAACACGAGAACCAGGCGTGGGCAGAGATTGGAGGTTGGGAGGCTGCCAAGGTGATGTACGGGGGGCGGGGCTGGTGTCACAGGAAAATTTGTCCTTTCTGAAATCTAAAGGTGTTCTAGGGACAAGAAGCAGGAAGTAGGCTTCCCCGACAGACTGGTTGCTGCTCTGGTCCCAAGCTTGCAAAAGCTATGAGAGGTGCAATGAGAGTCATGGAATGTTCTGCACCTCCTTCATTTAAGACTCCTGATGTAAATATGTGTACAATAAACCATATTTCTTAAAGACACTAACTTCTGCTGTGCCTCAGTTTTCCCAAAGGAAACACAACCCTGGGTGAGTGCCTGGAACCACCTGGAATCTCGCCACTCAGCAAAGATTGGGGGTGGCGTATAACCTCCGTAACAGTAGATTTCCCCATCTTTTCATTTTATGATTGGAATGACGATTCTAATTTGCACCTGTTGGTTATGAATGCAGAACCAGAGGTTAGTAACCATTCCAAGTTATCAAGCTGCAGAAGAATGGTATGATTTTGTGAATATAGTGCTTGGACTGTGATCGATTATTAGTCAATCCTACCCCCGGTTTCTAAATTAAGGCAGGAGCCATGATACCAAGAAAAGGCCACTTTTGTGTTTAAAGTTATCCATCTCTTTCATGTCTGGATAAATATAGCAGTCAAAGATTTCAAGTGCATAAACTGTGTCAGGCGGGAATTTTAATCCACAAAAACAAACACTCTGTAGATCTGCATTCTTTGGAAAATGCTTTCTCATTTTTCATGGAAAATGACTACAAAAAATAGACAACCGCAGAGCACTGTGAAATATGATAAGAAAGTAGTACAGGGAGTTGCCATGTTTATATAGTAGTATAATTATTTTTTTTAAAGGAAACCTATTTATGCAGCACAATCCTGGCCACATTTGCTCAAGAATTAGTTTTACTAGTTTCATTGGGACTTACTCTGAAGCAAAAGTGCATGGGATTGCAGCTTTGGACATAATATTATACTTGGAAACAAATACAACACATCGAAGAAGAGCTAGATAAAGCAAATTTAGGTTTCGTTCACTTGTGTACCTCGTGACACCTTATTCTCCCCACCCCTTGTAAATTCAGAATTAAGCTTAGATCCCTTAAATATTTAAATAGCTTAGTTCTCAACTTAATGCTGAATGTCAACTACTTAATCATCATGCCAAATCCACTCTGGGGAAAAACAGCAGATATTTCATACCCACTTGCAATCAGCATAGAAGTAGGATGGATGCTGTGTGCTTGAAAATGAAGGACATTGCTTTTAACCATTTCTAAACAGGATTAGAAAATGTGTACTCTGGAAACAATGTATTTAAAATTGTCCTTAGTTTGGGCTTTTAACTGCTACTATTTTATCCATAAGAGGAATGGGAAATCTGTGGCCCACCAGACACCGTAGAATCACAGAATTGCAAAGTTGTAAGGGACCCCTTGGCTGGGGAGGGTGGGATACAAATAATAAAATTATTATTATTATTATTATTATTATTATTATTATTATTATTATTATTTAGTCCAACCCTCTACAATGCATGGTGGCCACAGGTATTGAGAGCTGAAGTCCAACACCATCTGGAAGGCTTTGCCATCCCTATTAATATATAGATAAAATAATAGCAGTTCAGCAATGTAGGATTTAAATAAAACAAAAATTAGCAAGAGCTGTTGGAGAAGGTGAGAGATGGGGTATCCACACTATTATCCCTCGTCAGCTTCGTGCTTCAATTGCCCTTTGTTCAACTGCAATACACTTCTTCAAATTATACTACAGGAACAAATTAAGAGGCATGAGACATAACAATGGATCAGATGAGAGATCTGTCCTCCGGGAATCCACTGGGCGTGCCATGAATGATTTAACCAGAGGTCTTCTGTAAGCCAACCAATAAAGCCAGACTAGTAGAACCAAGAGTTACTTCCTCCAGGCTTAAACCACTTAAGGCTGTTCTTGATGAACAGTTTATAGCACAATAAAGGCATGGCTGTGACTCATTAGTTGCAGACATCTTTCCTAGGGCTGGAACTTCTGGGGACGGAAGGGATGTCTTGCATTTTCCCAGAGCTCTTGACAGTTTTGTCACTTGGAGATTGTATTTAATCATTCCAGCCCCTATGGAGATGAACCAGCTGAAAATATGGTTGCCATGTGGAATGTGGTTGCACTGTCACCACCAGCACACTGCTCAGATAATGCCTATGAGGTCACTACTGGTGAGAGACACAACCCCAGCCCTCCATTTTATGAAATTCCATTAAAAACACGTTCATTGTGAACGTTGACTATTCACTCACCAAATCAGCCCTTTAATATAAAAAACACAAAACATGGGGAAGACTTTTCCTCATCCCTTTGGTACAGTTGAACAATTTAATCAATCATTAATCAACCATGTGGTTGGATCACAGGTCTGGAAACCAAACCTGATGAGGAACGGTTGAAGGAGCTGGGTATGTTTAGCCAGGAAAAGAGAAGACTGAGTGAGAGAAGATATGATAGCTACCTTCAGATATCTAAAGGGCTGTCGCATGGAGGATGGAGAGAGCTTGTTTTCTCCTGCTCTGGAGGGTAGGACTCGAACCAATGGCTTCAAGTTACAAGAAAGGAGATTCCAACTAAACACCAGGGACAACCTGACAGTAAGAGCTGTTTGCCAGTGGAACGGTCTCCCTCAGGAACTTGTGGGCTCTCTTTCCTTGGATATTTTTAAGCAGAGGTTGGATGGCCATTTGTCACAGATGCTTTAGCTGACATTCCTGCATTGCAGGAGCTTGGACTAGATGGCCCTTGGGGTCTCTTCCAACTCTACAATTCTATTATTTATTTATTTAAAAAAACACCCAAAAAACAATCATTTTATTTCATGTGAGGGCTCTGTGTTTCCTCTCTCTGTTTCTGAAAAGGCACGTATCAAGCCAGTAATTTAGAAAACAGCGATTCTCTGCAAAAGGCTCAGTACAGTGGTACCTTGGGTTACATACACTTCAGGTTACAGACTCCACTAACCCAGAAATAGTACCTCAGGTTAAGAACTTTCCTTCAGGATGAGAACAGGAATCGTGCTCCGGCAGCACAGCAGCAGCAGGAGGCCCCATTAGCTAAAGTGGTGCTTCAGGTTAAAAACAGTTTCAGGTTAAGAACGGACCTCCGGAACGAATTAAGTATTTAACCTGAGGTACCACTGTAGTAGCTCAGTGGCTGAGCACCTGCTTGCATGCAGAAGGTCTCTGTTTCAACCCCTGGCATCTCCAGGTAGGGCTTTGAATGTCCCTTGTCTGAAATCCTGGAGAGCCACTGCTGGTCTGCGTAGACAATACTGAGAAGGATGGACCAATGGTTCTGCTCAGTATCAGGAAGCTTCCCATGTTCTTCCCACCCATCGCCCCGTCGGTTAAGTGGTGATAGGACCTGGCACTCAGCTAAATGCCAGAATGTTTCAATCTTTTTCAGGAAAGCCTTAATACCCGGCTTCCTCTTTTAAAATGCATTTCCGATTCCTGTTTTTGACTGGATGTGAAATGAAGATGTCAACCAAAGGGGCAGAAACGACGGCTGGAACAGATCAGTGAAAATGCTCTCCGGTGCGGTGACCCTAAAAACCACACACAGAAACTTCAGTTTGAAATTGCTGTGCGCTTTGGTTTGGGCTGGTGCTGCTCAGGCCTGTAGCTCGTGAGGTAGAGTGATGGGATGTCTGTTTAACCCTCTTTTAGAGGTGTAGTGCTATGCGGCCAGTGCCTTCACTTCCCACCAATGAGGCAGGGTTGGGCGTCGGGGTCTGATCCTTCCCGGAGCGCTTCTAGCCTGAAATCCTGCTCTACGCCAGCCTGCCGAATTGGCCAATGGCAAGCTGGCAAGGAGAGCTGGGCTCTCCGGGGGGGCGGGCTTGAGGGAACAATCAGGCTTCCTTCAGGTCTGCTCCCCAAATAATTTAAAACAGCCTGAGCCAGGCTCCCCCCAACACCCAGCTCTTCTTTGTTGGCAGGAGGGGAGGCCCTGGTTGTCCTGCAAAGTCGCTGAACCCCTAAAATGGACACTCCCTGATCACTTATTTTCTCCTCCCTGCCTCTACAAGAAATAGTTGTCAATTCTTGTTTGTGGGTTCCCCCCCACAACCTCTTCAAGATGGGCTGATACTCATTTTTGTTTGTTTTCTGAAGGACTACACTGGTCAACAACAAATTTGTTGTCTGCATTTTTTCAGTTGATTTAGGATGAATCTGATGCGCTGAATCCAAAAATCACATTGGTTTTGCTCAATCAGGTCAAGTTTTTGAGCTATGGCCACATGTTTTTTTTTATGTTTTTGTTCACATGTACGCTTGTGTGGAGCATTTTAGAAGAAGTTGGTGGGGGTAAAATGCCATGTCGAATAATTGTTTTGATTGGAAATGATTATTTTAATGACAAGAAGTATTCAGGTCCGATAGTTCTGGGTGATTATGTCGAAAAGGGATCAGTTTGAAGTCATAAAACCATGTCACTGACTGCTACTTCTGTGCTGTTGATGTGACTGGGATCAACAGAAAGAACCAGAGCAGCCTCAAGTATCCTGATCTTCAATCAGCACATCGTCCTGTAGCTCATTGTGATGAAATTCCAGTGCCTATCTTCGGAGAACTTCCTGACATTAGTGACGAAGATGCCTCCAGTGTTGAAGGACATGAAGAAGAAGAAGTGGTTCTTGAAGATGATGCTCCACATCCATTTTCCCAAAAGGAGTTGAATGATCTAGTTCGCAACCTCAGCTTGTCAAAGGACTCTGCCGAACTGTTGGCATCCAGATTGAAGGAAAAAAACCTCCTCTCTGACAGTGCTCGCATCAGCTTCTTCTGCAACAGGCATCAAGAGTACCTCCGTTTTTTCTCGGAAGAGGAGGACTTGGTGTACTGTGCAGATATTGCGCAGCTTCTGCTCAAGCTTAGAGTGCCACAGTACGAACCCAAAGATTGGAGACTGTTCATTGACAGCAGCAAGCGATCACTGAAATGTGTTCTGCTACACAACGGCAACCAGTTTGCCTCTATACCCCTGGCTCACTCGACTACACTGAAGGAGAACTATGAAGCGGTGAAGTATGCGCTGGAGAAAACTGGTTATGATCAGCATAAGTGGTTTATTTGTGTTGACCTGAAGATGGTGAACTTTTTGTTGGGACAACAGTCTGGCTTCACCAAGTACCCATGTTTTCTGTGCATGTGGGATAGTAGGGACCGTGCTCAGCATTACACGAAGAAGGACTGGCCTGTGCGGGAGGAATTGGTGCCTTGCAGAGAAAGGAACGTCATCAACGACCCTCTGGTGGACAGAGACAGAATACTCTTCCCACCGCTGCACATCAAGCTCGGCTTAATCAAGCAGTTCACCAAGGCTCTGGACAAGGATGGTGACTGCTTCACTTACTTGTGCCAGGCTTTTCCAGGATTGACCATGGAGAAGTTGAAAGCTGGCATCTTTGACGGTCCTCAGATCCATCAGCTCATCAGAGATCCAGAGTTCGGAAACTCAATGAACGAAGTGGAACTGGAAGCGTGGAAGGCATTTGTTCTGGTAGTGAAGAACTTTCTTGGCAACAATAAGGCCAGAAACGACGCAGAACTTGTCAACAACATGCTGACTGCTTTCAGAAACCTGGGCTGCAACATGAGCGTCAAGATGCACTACCTATTTTCACATATGGACCGGTTTCCTGAGAACCTGGGTTCAATGAGTGACGAGCTGGGGGGGAAAGATTCCATCAGGGCATGAAAGAGATGGAGACCAGGTATCAGGGTCGCTGGGATGCAGTCATGATGGCTGACTACTGTTGGACTCTGAAGAGAGACCTCCCTGCCACTGAGCATTCCAGGAGTTCCAAGAAATGGAAGTTCAAGACCTGAAGTTTGAAAAATGGTGAAGCAACATGCAATTTACGTGTACTTACCATATTTTTTGCTCTATAAGACTCACTTTTTCCCTCCTAAAAAGTAAGGGGAAATTTGTGTGTGTCTCATGGAGCGAATGCAGGCTGCGCAGCTATCCCAGAAGCCAGAACAGCAAGAGGGATTGCTGCTTTCACTGTGCAGCGATCCCTCTTGCTGTTCTGGCTTCTGAGATTCAGAATATTTTTTTTTCTTGTTTTCCTCCTCCAAAAACTAGGTGCGTCTTGTGGTCTGGTGCGTCTTATAGAGTGAAAAATACGGTACCTTTATCAATGCCCACCATTCAGTTTACAGTAAACCTGACCTGATGGAGAGAAACGGATGCCATTTCCCGATTCAGCAGTGCAAAAATATCCTAAATCAGTTGTAGAAATCTAGACAACATTCAAAAAGTAAAAAATTGTTGCCCAGTACAGTGGTTCTCAAACTGTGGGTCCCCAGATGTTGTTGGACTACAACTCCCCTCATCCCTGAGTTCTGGCCTTGCTAGCTAGGGATGGTGGGAGTTGTAGTTCAACAACATCTGGGGACCCACAGGTTGAGAAAGGCTGGACTAAATATTTATTACATCACAAAATTGTGGCTCACCCCTCCTTGTTCAAGCTTCTAACTTCTTATTAATGGAGTTCTGTTGTAGATTTTATCATTTATGCTAACAAGGAAAAGGCTACTGCTTTAAGCACTGTGTGTTTTATTAAAAAAAGCATTTTACCATTGCCTGCAGAGCAGGTACACAAGCTGTCTTTAGTATCCCCAGGGATTATTGCTATATTATATTGGGTTATTTCCTGCATTTGTAGCTGTTTAAAAGGAAGAGACAGCCAGAGTGTCTGTGAAAAATTTACATTAACGCATGCTTGGTTAAATTGCAGAAATAGGTGAGAAATGCACTTACGCTGCACTTTCTTCGCTTTAGCAAATTAGGCATTTCCTGTCTTGGAGGATGGGGAAACAGCCAGAGACTTTGAGTCTCTCCTCTGATTATCCCTGCTCCAAATTCAATTTAATTTCCCATCCCAAGTTCAAAAGCAGTAGCCACATAAGTCCGTTTCCATAAAATAGTCACAGCGGGTAGGATCCAGTCTGCGTTTTCACGCTGAAATCTGTAGTTCCAAATTACTCATCACTAACCACTTTTGGTTTGAATTGGTTTAGTCCATTGAATAATAATAATAATAATAATAATTTATTATTAATACCCCACTCATTTGGCTGGGTTTCCCCAGCCACTCTGGGCAGCTTCCAGCAAAATATTAAAATACAATAATTCACCTAATATTAAAAGTTTCCCTAAACAGGGCTGCCTTCAGATGTCTTCTAAAAGTCAGATAGTTGTTTATTTCTTTGACATCTGGTGGGAGGGCATTCCACAGGGCGGGTGCCACTACCGAGAAGGCCCTCTGCCTGGTTCCCTGTAACCTCACTTCTCACAGTGAGGGAACCACCAGAAGGCCCTCGGTGCTGGACCTCAGTGTCCAGGCAGAACGATGGGGGTGGAGACGCTCCTTCAGGTATACTGGGCTGAGGCCGAAGTCAATGGATCAAGATAGTTGTGACTAATTGATTTCCATGGGGCTAAAGCATCCATGACAAGCTTAGTTTGGGTTTGAGCCATACAATTCAACCCATTTTCTGCTGGTATGGTTGTAGTAGTCTATGTAAGGCAACTTTGTGTTACGTATGATTTAGTTCCTCTGGTTGATCACTCAAAGTGAGACCCAGCCTCATTTTCACCAGATACGGTCCATATTACCTTATCAATGGCACTATCTAACCTTGATGTTGGGAGGTAGTACTGTCACTTCATCCCCTCTCTGCAGATGACCACTCACCCATGTGCACTGTGTCATTGGAGTGGTAAAATATACACAATGCTTTGTGACAATGCATGAGCCCACAAGAAAGTATACACTGCCCTAAGGGTATGTTCACATTACCAGCTTAAAATGCATCAGTGTTATTTCCCCTCCCCACCCTGTTACATTTCAAGTCATCAAAAAGGGGACAAGGATGTCTTCACTGGATGTGCATGATCTTTTTGATTCCCCCACCCTTGAAACTCCTGTCATCTGTGCATATATGAATGGTGGCTGTCTCAAATGTACACGCCATTCTTAAGTACGTACAAAGTTTTCTAGTTGTGCATTTTCAAAAACCAGCAGTGGGAGCACACTGGATGTGGAGTAAGCAGTGATGTGAACCTGCCCCAAGTGCTTGTTCTCTAGTATAGCAAGTCTTAGGACTAACTCATAACTGGTATCTCTCTCTCTCCACTTGGGGAGGGGGCAGATTCAGAGGAGAAAGGATCCCTTTTCATCTCTTGATTTATTTTTGGAAGTCCTGTGAATCAAACAACCCTGTTTGGGGCACTGGTATGAATTTCACAGCAGGAAATTATTTGCTCCCAGCAGCAGCTCTATGCAAATTTGCAAAACAAAGACATGAAGTAATGAATGGGGGCACATTACCAGTCATTCAGGGCTGAGTTGCCCTATTTTTATTTATAGCCCATCCTCCCTTTTCCAGCATTAAGAAATAGTGAATTTGCTGGTGGTTACACCATACACGCATCCTGAGTGCAATATTGTATCATCACTGAAAGAGATAATGAAGAAGAGATTATCTGGGTAACTTTTAATTATAGGATGAGTTAATTGCACCCTCTTCATTTTTTGCTTTCCATCTTGCGCCACAATAAGGTTTTCACTTTTGGGGTTATAATGATTATTTGCTCACCCATTTGACCTTCATTCATATATTTCTCACATACTTCACTTCAAACACAAATATTTAAGTGGCACTGGCTAGCCGCAAATATGTGTGTGTGTTAAAATCAGGTTCAGCAACACTGATGAAAAGTAAGTAGATTCAAAATTGAATTGGGTAGGGATGTGTAAAGGCAAAAAGCAAATAAAACACAGTTAAATGTGTTTGGAATTCAAATAAAGCTTATATGTTAAAACCATTTATATGAATTGATTTTTTTTAATGAGATAAAGGGACTAGGGGTTTACATGGCCCCTACCCCCCCCCAGATTACAGTAAGCTAAATATGAAACTCTAACAATATTGTTGCATGTGGTTATATTTATGGATGTGGCTTAATTGCTTAGTAGAAAACTATTAATAAAAAGTTAACTGGAAGTTGGGTTAATCTGTATTGTAAGATAATGTTTGCTATTTGCTGTGAGATATACCTCCAGAATGAAACTAGCTGGTACGGAGCCCATTATCAAGACTGAAAACAGTTTAATTGGCAGGCTGTGGTCTAAACCACGGAGCCTAGGGCTTGCCGATCAGAAGGTCGGCGGTTCGAATCCCTGCGAAAGGGTGAGCTCCCGTTGCTCGGTCCCAGCTCCCAGCTCCTGCCCACTTAGCAATTCGAAAGCACATCAAAGTGCAAGTAGATAAATAGCTACCACTCTGGCGGGAAAGTAAACGGCCTTTGTTATGATTAATTTATCCACAAAATTCCGCACTTGGGCTTGGCTCAACCCTAGCAAGACCCCAGTGGCTTCCCAAGCTTCTAATAGTCATGTATTGTGGTGCAACTTGCTTTTTAAGTTAGAGTAAATTTACCCTTTTCCTTGTAGGTCTACATCTGGCTCTGGGGCACTCTAGTACCTCGCTTTTGCTCTCTGCTTGTGGCAAACTGTAATCTTGCATGATAGTAAACTGCATTCTGCTGTGACACGTAGGATAATCTGTTACAGGTGCACACCTGCTCCCAGTTATTTGTGTGTATAAGTGTGTATCATGCCCTTCATTGAGCTTTCTGCACACAGCCCAACTATGTGCAATACTACTGTTTCTTTTGGATAAACCTTGATGCAGAAGCATGCAGCCTGCTCTCCAACATCCAGCTGAGAGAAATGGTAACGCCTGCAACAAAGCACCTCAAAATGTTTGCTACCAGACAAGGATTTATGAAAAGACAGGTCCAGCCCGCACTAGCTAGAGTCTGGCCAAAAAAGAAAAGAGGGACAACTCACTTCTCTTTAACTATTATAATTAGTGGTTGCCTGGAACTGGCATCGTATTTGCTGATATAAACACTTCTGATAGAAGTCAATGACCATTTTTACACCAAAAGGCATTTGGTCTGCTGTGATGATGATGGTGTCTGTCTGTGTTATGGAATGTGGTGCACAATGATCTGCCCAGTGCTTGCTGGATGATACCACTAAGCAACAAGGAGAACAGAAAATAAAATCAGACAGACCCAGTTTCAGTTCATTTTGCACAGCCTGGGCTTCCTCAGAGAAAGGCACAAAATGTTTCTCTCGAAACCTCTTGTGCAACCCGCAACGCCCCCAGAACCAATCTGCTAAAGGCAAGCCCGTTCTGCTAAGCACGAATATAGTAAGTGTGTGGAACATGCTTGATGCTTCCCCAGTTAAATATACAATCTGTGCAATCCTATCAATTCATCCTCAGCACATTTGCTGCTATTTTCAGCCAGGCTTGCTACTTTCCTAGGACAAAATATATTTTACTTCTTTTTTTTAAAAAAAACCCCCAAAAACCCCACGAACAAAACCAAACTGATTTCATTAACCCTCTTCTAATATTATACAAGGCCATGTCCCTGAACATAAGCTAATCGTTTTGAGAAAAATCTGTTTCATACAGACCGCTTGTATGTTTAGAGAAAAAATAGGAAATACCTAAGTTTCTGTCCCATAATAGCTTGGCTTGAATCAAAGCAAAAAAAGGTTCTTAAGTAAGTGACTGCCGCACATGTAAGGGGCTAGGTTGCTAGAAAGTCATCATTATACGACTTCCTGTTTGGAAGATGGATTTCATTTGAATCCTGATTGCAACTTCTTCAAAGGACAAAATGGATGCCTTCCATTGTTAGGAAATCACTGAGCAATTTCTCCCCTGGTCTGATGTTTTCACATAGTTCTTTGGCAGGTCCTTGCTGAAAATTGAGTGAGGTTTCCTTTTCAGCTCTAAAGGGATTTAGGGATACTTAACAAAAGTGGGATAATTTTGTGCATTGAAGTGACCTGCACATGCCATAGTAGGATCATGTGGTGCAATCTTTTTTGGACTAAACTACTTCAGGTTTTGTCACAGGTTTGAATATATACCACTCTCCCTGCACATAGAAAACTAGCACATTGGGGACGCTTTCTATTGGCAAGGAGGTATTGTGTGAAAATCTGGACAGAAAGGTTGTTGAGCTTTTTTTCAACAAAGCTGTTGAGCATTTTGTTTTGTTTTGCCCAAAGTTGTTGAACCTTAGTGGCAAATTTGCTGCTTCCCACTGCTGTTATTCCAGATATGTCCAGAAAATTCCGGACATGTGGAATTCTTAGCTAAGGAACATTTCATTGTTCCCCCTCTGTAGACTGTAGATAATAATAGCTTTCTGAATCTGACTCACAGGGAAATAGGCAAAGTATCATACAGAAATGGGGGAAGGGAGATCGTTATAAGATAACCACATCATTTTCATTAGTTTTTCTTGGGCATAGCAATAAGGGTAGAGGTAATTTGCAAATATGTTTCTTGCTGTGCACAAATGACCTTGATTTCAAATAAGTAAGAAGACAATCGGACACCTTTATGAGCAACTATTTATTTTGTCAAAAAGAGAGAATGGCTAGATTCAACTTTCACATATATAGCTTGCATATGATTTTGAAGGGCTTTTCCCACCCCGCAAGAGGCGAGGGATGTATTTCTTTACAACAATGCACCTACTTTAAAACAAGACTGCCTTGTTTGTCCCAGTGGAACAGTTGACCTGTCTGCTGTCTCCTGGGCTTTGCCCTGATTTACACACCCATTGTCCTAATTTAGTCAACCATAATTCTCCACGTCACCTTTCCTCTCCCTCCCTCCCCCCCCCAACCTCCTAGCTTGGTCAACTCTCTAGCTCAAGCCAGTGGACAAAGGTGGAGGGGGATGAAACATGACCCACATTTTTGCATGTACAAACATTTATACTTGAAAAGCGCACATTCATATTAGCTTAGCTCCCAGGAGAGTATAAGGAAGTGTGTCTGCTCACACCACTTTTGCCACCAGCTGTTGCCATGGCAATAATCTTGATTACTTTGGAAAACTGGGAATCTAGAACAGCAGGTCTTATTTTAAAAGCAGGATTATAATGAAACCCAAGTTTCTGTTTACTATGGAAAAAATGAACAGCCTTAGCATCTTCAAATTACAGTAGATGAAGGATGCTCTGCAGCTTGTAGGAGCACTAAGTGACAAAGCAGTTTGTGTGTGTGTGTGTGATCATTATACGATGTGTGTGTCATCATTATACAAGTGTTTGATACTGTGCCATACAAAATTTCCAAACAATCCCTCATCAGCCACTCAGATTATAGAGGCTGGTGGGCTTTGTTTTTGTTCATCTCTGCCCTACCTGCCAAAATGTCTCCTGCTTCCTCTCATTTGCTTCCCTGATCTGCTTTGGATATGAGCAGAGAAACACAGAAGGTTCTATCCCACCAAGTTTTATTTTAAAATTAATAGAGCTAAATTAGCCATCTCCATTAATGTCATTGGGTCTACTTTGAGTACAACCAGTGTTGGATGTAACTCAGACTAAACCCTCCAGATACAGTCATATTGCAAGAAGTGTTGTTGTTGTTGTTGTTGTTGTTGTTGTTGTTATTGGGCAGGATTAAAAAGAAAACAGGGATGCTGGTGGCGCTGTGGGTTAAACCACAGAGCCTAGGACTTGCCGATCAGAAGGTCTGCAGTTCGAATCCCCACGATGGGGTGAGCTCCCGTTGTTCAGTCCTAGCTCCTGCCAACCTAGCAGTTCGAAAGCACGTCAAAGTGCAAGTAGATAAATAGGTACCGCTCCAGCGGGAAGGTAAACGGCGTTTCCGTGCACTGCTCTGGTTTGCCAGAAGTGGCTTAGTCATGCTGGCCACATGACCCAGAAGCTGTACGCCGGCTCCCTTGGCCAATAAAGTGAGATGAGCGCCACAACCCCAGAGTCGGCCACGACTGGACCTAATGGTCAGGGGTCCCTTTACCTTTTTAAAAAGAAAACATGCAGAAAGATTTCACTGAAAGCACCCCAGTATCTTTTAAAGCAGCCCAGACTGCTCTTGAAAAGCTGCTCCCTGATACTTCAGGGCACTTTTGGAAACTGATGATGCAGTGAGTGAAGAAGAAGAAATGCTTGTTGAATCACTGTCAACCATCAGAACATGCACTGGATACATGGGTGGATGGGTGGAGAGAATGAGCACATCAGACATTCTGCTTTTTGCTTCAAGCAGAGCTTGGCCAGGCATGAATGGATGAAAGAAGGTTATGCCATGTGTCACCACATTGCTGTGGCCTAGCAAGACACAGGCTCTCAACTACAATCTGCTTGGAGCAGCGCTCTGAGCTGTATTCAAAGAAGAGGGGAGGAAGTCACACCCAGCCAGGACTCTGTGGAATGTCAATTGTTTTTCCTTTCTACCTGCTTTGCTTTGCTGAAGTGAAAGGAGTCTGTGGTTGCTGTTAGTCCAGCTCCATGTTGGGCAGATTGCCTAATTGAGAGCAACAGAGTCCAGGCGTTCCGCCCAGGAAGAAGAGTTTAAAGAGCAGGAAAACTTTCCTAGCCACTTTCTTGCCCAGGTGAACTTCCAGAGGCCAGATAACAGTAGAGAGTGGGGCAAAAACCGGGTTTAGAGAAGCAGATGTGACTCATACCTTTGTACAACAGACTACATTTCATCCATGCAAAAGCAAAAGGTTCTGACATACAGCAAGAAGCATGATCACAGTTCAAGAACATAGCCTAGCCAGGCAAAAGCAGCTTATAAGTGTGCTGAGAAGGTATTTGCTCTTCCTGATTACTGAAATTAACCAGTGCTGTACTTTCAGTATGGACCATGGTGGTCACTGCCTTCTTGGGAGACAGTGTGGTCCTTACTGCCCTTAAGGAGGCAGCAGTTAGATCCCCTTCTAGAGTTCAGATCCAATGTTTGTTTGTTTTTTAAAAAAACATTTGCAGCCAGAGTCTAATATATCATTTTGAGCCAGATTCTACAGGTGGTGATAGGTTCACAACTCCAGACAATCTTCAAGCTTGTGTAGTTAAAGTAACATGTACAGTGTCTGATATACACATTCCGAAAGGACCCTAAAATTTTGTCTTTGTCGCCAAAGTCACCAAAATACATATTAAATTACTTCAAATGTTCTGGGGATTCTTATTAATCTCCTATTAATTTTTTTAAAAGAAAACATTTAATGCTACTTTAAAGCTGAACAATGGTTCTCTATTGTTGACAATTCATGTAAAGTAAACTCAAGAGTTGCTGAAGGAACTCTTGCAGTAGAAGTCACTGAAGTTTAATGTCTTGTAGCCCACAATGACTGTGGATTTGTGCCTACATGTTGCACACACAAGGTATGTAGGTATGTTACAACAACAAAAAAACCACTCAACCAAACATGTCCATAATCTACCTTTCATCTGTGCAGAGAAGTTCATTTTCTCCAGTGTTTTAAGAGCTTTTGAGATTCCTTCCCCAGTAAAGCTAAGTTAAGCAACCTACTGCAGGATACTCTTTCCCAGGAAGCAGCTTGCTTTTTCAGGGTCATGAAAGCATTTACCCACCTTCACCCCCTTTCCCTTTTGAAATTGCTATGCATTCCAGATTTTTCACTGGATGTTGGAGAGAGGGGGGAAGCGGGGGAGAGAGTTGATAATGAGCAGAACCACAGAAGAAATGTCCAGCTCTTGCAAGGTAGAGCTGCTCTCATCATACACAGTTACTTTGGTTTATATAAAAAAAAGAATCAGCATTTTCAAGAGTCGTATTATACAACTCATCACAAGGAAAAGGGTCTAGCCAGAGAACTATAATAGAGGGAGGGCTTATATTTGCAAGTAAAGGCTCAGCAGCAGGAATCAAGAGTCAAGAGTTCAGAAGCCAAGCAAAATTTCAGACCTGAGTGGAAGCAACAAACATGTCCCAGCAGGTTTCCATGCCAGTCCTACCAAGCTTTTAAAGACACGGTGCGGTGAGCGAGCTTGCGAGACTCTCTTGCCTTGCGAGCATACGGAGTTTGTAAACATACATTCCAGCTGGAAGAATGAGTCTGTTCCTATCTACAGAGGTGGTGCCTGGTCCTTGGTGACAAGGCTGCATCCTTCCTTTCTGGCTCCTGTTCAGCCTCTTATGCTTCCAGTTCAACCATCTCCAGCAAGTGGTCAATGCCTCCACAGACCCCAGTCAAAAGAAGGAGGAAAGCCTACATCCTCACCATCAATTCCCACGATCTCCCCACCCCCTTCTGCTTCCTCCTCATCAGTCTGAGCCTGCCAACCCATGCCCAATCCCAACAGACCACAAGGCTCATGATAGATTTTGTTATTTTGTCTGGATGCCTGTGGTGGCCTTTACATCTTAGGTTCGCCTTCCCTGCCACCTCCACAGCACCTCAGTATGGGGAACAATTCTGTGGGAAGGCTCTGATTTGCACTGTGCAGGCTACATGATCCTGGATGTTACACTTGCATTCTCTCTTATCCAGGACTCTTTGCCCCCCACTACCTGCACCCAGACATAGTAACCACTTCATAAGGTTCTCCCAAATAGTGTGACCCAGTGGACAATACAGACACATCGGAGAAAAGGCAGTTTAGTTGCTTGCTAGTGCAAATGGGCACTGTCAAAGCTGCAGCAAACCTAATGAGATTTTGCATAAAAGAACACAAAGAATATTACATGTAATATAAATGTAATGCAACACCATGTTTCTGCTCTGGCTTTTTATGGTTGAGGATAACATAGCATAAACATTCATGCGAACCAGACGTTATTCTAGGATTTCATTAGCTGAAGGTCAATAGAAGTCCATTTATCTTTGTTTTTCCATTTTCTGTCTAACATTTCATTAGAAACGGCATAATATTGTACATGGGTAAAGTGAAAGAGACGCTAATGTTGTATATGGGTAAAGTGAAAGGGACACTGAACAGACATTACTTTCAGTTGTTGGAAGGGATATTTACTGCAATGGCTTCAGAAATAATCAAAGAATTTCCAATGTTGCATTGTTACAGCAAAAAAATCCAGTGGCTCCTTAACTACAGTGATACCTCTGGTTACGAATTGAAATCATTCCGGAGGTCCGTTCTCAACTCAAAACCATTCTTAACCTGAGGCGCGCTTTCGCTAATGGGGCCTCCCGCTGTGCATGTGCCAGAGGTGCACAACTTCCACTCGCACCCGGGGCAAAGTTTGCAACCAGGAGATCTATTTCCAGGTTAGCGGAGCTCATAACCCGAAGGGTGCGTAAGGAGGATGGTTCGTAACCAGAGGTATTACTGTATTTGTTTCATAAAGGTAAATGGACCCCTGACTGTTAGGTCCAGTCGCGGTTGACTCTGGGGTTCTGGCACTCATCTCGCTTTACTGGCTGAGGGAGCCGGCATACAGCTTCCGGGTCATGTGGCCAGCATGACTAAGCCGCTTCTGGCGAACAATCAACAGAAACGCCGTTTACCTTCCCACCGGAGCAGTACCTATTTATCTACTTGCACTTTGACGTGCTTTCGAACTGCTAGGTTGGCAGGAGCTGGGACCGAACAATGGGACCTCACCCTGTCGTGGGGATTCGAACCGCCAACCTTCTGATCGGCAAGCTCTAGGCTCTGTGGTTTAGACCACAGCGCCACCCGTGTTTCATACACCTAGTCAAACACATTGTTACAATGCATTGAAGAGGAGTGGCTTAGAAGGGGCGAGGGTTTAGAGCAGAAAAGTGGTTGGAAGAGAAAGAATGAAGCAGCGGAAGAGGAGAGTGAAATACTTTTCTGTTCCAAATCACCTCCTTTTGTGTCTGCTTTTGTACAGAAAAAGTGGCCAACAGGGAGGGACTTGTCATGCTCTTTTGTATGTAATGTGTGTTGTTGCCAGCTAATGGGATACTGTGGAATTAAGACAGACTGCTAAGATGTAGAGAGCTACAAACTTTATCATTAGTCTTTATTATGGCTACGATTTACTGTATTGAATAATGCAGAGAGCTGTTTTAGTCTGTTGCGGCAAAAACAAGGAAGGGTCTTGCAATGCAAAAATAAAATCAGTGACAATTATGTTAAGGCTTTAAAAATATGCAAGATAAGTTCAGTTACAACACCATCAATTGAGGATAGCAAAAATGCCCTAGTATAGCTAGGTAATGTACAGTATTCATGCAGAGATTAGATATGTATATTTAATGTAAACCTTTGCTTAAATCACAAGTTCTCATTCTTCTTCTTTTTTAAAGTGTGTAGCAAATTGCCTGAGGGGATTTGTTTGTAGTATGAGTTGCTCAGAGCTACTTTACACACAATGGCCTGGTTCACGTGTCATGCAAAGCCAAACCATGGCTTTGCAGAAATGCACAAGTTTGTGGCCAGTCTGCTCTTCTATGGTTGTTCCACCATTGCACTTAGCTAAACCAGGGTTTCATTTAGTAATCATTCCATGACCAACCATTCAAAGTATATAAAAAAAGACATTTGCTAAACAAATATGCTAATTTGTTCACCTCAAATTCTGCTTTACTTCATCATTTTAGCTGAGCTGGAACATTTTCTTGTGGTTCTCCTCTGTTCCCTATCTCACTTCTTCAATTTTTTTAAACCTGCAAAGCTAGTGCTGAGCTAAGCCTCTCCCCCCCCCCCCAAACCCCATTTAGGTCACTGCCCAGAATATACACCAAGGAGCCTCCATAGGAAAGCACAACAACCTTTCAACTTCAGCTGAATTTATAAGGTAGAGAAATTTAGCATGCTTTGGTGGATCTGTGCAGAAAGAGGTCTTTTGTCTTTTTTTTAATATGATTTACATTGGGGGATTTCAGAGAGAGAGAGATCATCTTTTTATCACATGTCATTCATCTTGATGATTTCTTTCTTCCACATTCTCCCTTCCAGTGCAAAAGAATTCATGCACCAGGTAGCTGTCTGTGGCTGACACCACAAGAATGAAAGGAAAGGTTTTTTTGCTTTGTGCCCACTGCTTTTAATGAATGATCCAGCAAACCAGGTCTGAGGGCTTTTTCTGCACGAGGGCTGAGTTTTCCAAGGTACTTCATAACAACAAGGAGTAACAAATATTAAATCACATGGAACTGTGTTATTCAACATCATGACCATTGTTGGTAACGGGAGAGAATTTCCATAAACTCAGCTCTGGAATATATTCTGTAGGCATAGCGGTAAATTCAAACTGTAGATCAGAGGAGATGAAGAAAGAGAAGGATGCTGTGTATTTCATCCAACGAATTAAAAAATGAATCCTGCAACTTCCAGCACTGATCCCAATGGGGCAGTGACAAAATTGGAAGCCAGACTTTGGAGGAAATGAACACTTGAACTTCCCACGATTTCGGCATTGCATCATGGAAAAGGGAGCTATTGCACCAAATCCTCCACTTATTTCAAAGTCATACACTGACGTAAGAAGAATCCTCCTTGTGTACAACATGGAGAAAAGGAAACCTCACCAAGTCCTTCTAACTCTTCCCTTGACTAGCTGCTTACATTAGAGCTGTGTGTGCATATGGCCACTTGAAATTTCCACCCTCTTTGTGGGCAGAAAAGCTGGGGCAAGTAGACAATTTATCCAGTGGGAGCAGAAATTCTCCAACCATTCCTCCTTAAGCAGCAGATGTAGCACAGCTTCTTCCTATTCTACTGTTCGATGTTGTCCATTAATTTCAATGGGTGTACTCTTGAGCAAAATTCAGTTGAGTACCATCCAATATTTTTCTGATGCTGGGGATGAGAATAACTTCTGAGCAAGCTTAGGAGTTTAACTATGTCCTGCCCAGGTCCTGACATGTCCCAAACCCCAGCATAGGGAGTACCCAGGTGCATTATAACGCTGATGCAAAGACACTTGCACAAATTCCAGATGTCAATGAAGTTTTGTATTGTACTGAACACCAAGAGGATTTTGTGGTGACCCTGTTCTCATCCAGAGGACATAATTCAATTATAGGATTACACCTCAGTTATTTTAACACTGAGAGTTTAAAGGGGGGGGGGGGGACAACGTTATTTTGTAATCTATGCATTTTCTCAGATAAGAATTAGATTAACCCTACCATTACAAATCTGGGAGGGGATGTCTTGGCAATTACAAATTTGGGGTGACAGGGACATATGTAAGGAGCCCAAATGCACAGCAGAGTATATGTCACCTTCAATAAAACATTGCATATGTTTCACATGACATCAGTATGACATCTAGACGAAGGAAGAGATAATTATAGACTTGACTACCAAAAAAAGATGATAAATTTATTCTGAGTTATAGGGATGTAAAACATAACTGTTCCATTAAATTACTTTTGTCTGCTTCATTGAAGAGTCAAAAACAAAACCCTCTATATTATCATATTATGCAATCTTTGTGCTAGGAATAGCAATAGAAGTTCTAAGAAATGAGTGCAGAGGTTTTTGACTATAAATACAGAGGGCATATCCACATCAGTTTGAGTGGCATCAGACCAAGCCACAATCCACTTGTGTACCTTCCCTTTTTGTTCTTGGACAGCCAAACCAAAGCCCAAATGATCCCACTTAATGCTTTAGGCTACTTTGGTGATGATCCTAATGTCCAAATATCAGGTTCAGTGGTGCATATTCCAAGTAAATGAATAAATGATTGTAGCCTAAGTGTGACTGTGGGTTTCAGGAAACAGCAGTGCTGAAAATGTATCGTAACTAAAAATTCATGCCAAACAACTTTCTCAGGTCTCAAAGTTAGACTGGTTGGACTGGCTTTATTAATCAGATATTTGCATCTGAAAGCATGCAGTTTCTTCCAGGCACCGTGACAAAAAGTGTGGAGTGCTATCTTTGTTTTAATGGAAAATTAAATATCCCAGAGCATGATCAGTTTGATAGAAACACTTAATAACAATTTCTTAGGTCATAATTGATAATGAAACATGCTTAAGATTCCACTAACACTTGGACGCAAAAGAACCACAAAGAAAACTGAGGATAAAAAGTTATCAACAGCACTCCTTTTTCTGGAGACTGTTGTGCAGGCTCAGGGATCTAGAGATGACTTCTAAAACTCACTTCATGGTGGAAAAAGCAATTGCCCATCCAAAGTAACTGGTGAAAAGAAGCCCATTATAGTTGCATGATTATGCAAATGTAATTTACATCACGTACTTAGTGAAACACATTATTTCAGATGAGTTTGGTTGCAGGGTCAGAAACAGAGACCAATGTTCAGGAGCCAAAAAGTTGGTACCAGTGATGAAGAACAGATATGATGTCTAGGCAAGCTATAAACAATTGCTAGCATCCTACTGGAACAGGCAAGAAACAATCTCAAGAGCAAACGGATGTCCTCAGGTAACAAGAAGAAGCAAGAAGAAGAGGAGTAATAATGTTGAAAAGTGGACAGTGAGACCACAGGAAAATGCAACACAGCTATCTAACCTACTGCTCAGGTAAAGGGGCTGCCCTGGAAGTTTTTACATCTCACAAGATTTGTCAAGGGTTAGTAATCTGACTGGGATATGTAAGTATGCAAGACAGCAGGGTTATTGTGACCGAACCCTCCCTACTGATCAAAGTCTGCAGCCAGAATTGGAGAGTGGCAAGGCTCCTGCAACAGCTTGCCAAAGGCAAAACTCCTAATTCAAATACTGGTGTAGCTGAGAGTAGCCCATAACAACCTCAGATATAATTTTTCTTTGCAATAATACTGTTAATCAAGAATTCACTTCCTAGTCTTTAAAATGTTTTGAAAACCCATTTTAGTCAAAATAATGTGAAGTGTAGAAAGTCCAGGTTAGGAATTTTGAAGCACAGCCATCTCTTTTTCTGAATCCAGGGCTATTAATACATGGAATGTTTCTGACACAAAGAGCTAATTATGTTCCAACTTCTGATTGCTTTTCCCCAAAGGCATTGTCTTATGATACACTACAAATCTGATCCATAATTCAGTTCAGCTGAGATTTATGATTAAGCAAATTATGTCCTGTTGGCTTGAGTAGGACTAAATTGGTTTAAATAAAAGCACTTTAGCTTAACTGTATAGTGGAAGGAACAGCACACCAAGCAAACAGATGTGTTACTGAGACAATTATCTATACTTTACAGATACTAGGCCTGCCTGTCTCTAACCATTTGGTGTGGGATGGACTCCATCAGCCCTGTTGTGAATTAGAACAATTATTTTGTGCATCTGAGCAAACTCCAGAGTTTTGAGTAATAAATCTTTTCACCCTTGAAGCATGTGATTTCTGGTGAGGTTTATTTAAATATGGCAGTCCTTCATTTTTATGTAAAGATGATACAGTGTTGTGCACTTGCAAACAAATGGGGAAAACAATTTGAGCAAGCAGCAACAGATGCTTCCCGCTCCAGAATGAAAATATGGTTAATTCCTGTTTGGGAGCATTTTACAAAGGAAGCCTAAAAAAACCAAGAATGCACATTCCTTTCTCTGATCAACATTTGCAGTTCTATTGTCAAATCATTATGTAGCACAGAAATTCAATTTCTCTTTCCAGCATACTTTATTTTCCATTTAAATGGCTTTCTAATTAGCCTCAAAGCAGTGAGGAAGGCAAAATATGATTTATGGTGCTTTCAGTAACAAACCCATTGTTTAAGTCCTATGGCAGCTGTGCGCAACAGTAGTGCAGTTGCAGATCTGTTTGTTGTTAAACCATCATTAGGTTTTCTAAAGGAACAATTGCAGAAATGATATGCCTTTATTTGCTAATGATGGAGGGGCTTTTCCATGTTCCCTTCCATTTAAGATGGTTAACCACTCAAAATCTGCCTCCAAGGAGGGTGAAAGAGCCATCCAGTGAAAAGGAGTTTGCTGGCTTGTGCAGATATGAACTAAGGACCAAACTAGATTTGATGACTGTGTGGTTGGGTGGGTGCAAGAGTCATAAACTCCCCCACCCCACACTTCTGCTATTTGCAATTGAATGATAGCTCTCATTGGTGTTCTCCAGTTGTGAATAGCAGGGGCAAGGAGGCAATTCCCATCAGGGCTGAGGGGCAAAGGGTTAAACAGAAGCTTCCACCTCCCCCACTATTTGTGAAACAAATATTAGCTATATCAAGTATGGGCCTTAGAAAAACAGATGGGGGGGGGAAACAAGCTTTGATATATTCACCTGATATATGGGTGTTTCCATATGCTTTCAATTTAATAAAGATGTTTCCTGCACATTTTCCACGATCATTGATGTTATGTTGAGCTTTTGGGGAATTCTAAACCTTTCAGCACTTGTCCCACCCTTCCCATCATGGAATTATTTTATTTTCATGTGCATTATCTTTTGTGCTTAGCCCTGGCAATATCGAAGGCTCATACGACCTTTCTTCTGGAACATCAAATATATGCACAATGATGAGGTTGTCATCTCTGGTAGATGAAACACAGACAGTAGCACCTGTAGCATCTGGTAGATGAAACACACAGAGAGTCAGTGTGGTGTAGTGGTTAAGAGCAGTGGACTTGTAATCTGGTGAACCGGGTTCGATTCCCTGCTCCTCCACATGCAGCTGCTGGGTGACCTTGGGCTAGTCACACTTCTCTGAAGTCTCTCAGCCTCACTCACCTCACAGAGTGTTTGTTGTGGGGGAGGAAGGGAAAGGAGATTGTGACTCCTTAGGGTAGTGATAAAACGGGACATCAAATCCAAACTCTTCTTCTTCTAGCTCAAAAAGAGTCAACAATAATGTATGGATCAATTTGGAACTGGTTGTTCATCCTGGAAGTGCAACAGCAGGGATAATTCAGTTTGTAACTTAAGGGTGAATTCATATGTCAATGAATCAACTCGAGAAGAACAGAGTGGAAGTGTTCTTTAGCAACCAGGGAGGCTGCATGATCCTTAGTGAGGCAGCATGTGCTCCGATTGACTGAGTAGCTGAGGGAGCTTTCCCCTGGATGTTCAGTTGAATCCAAGCCTGTTTTCCACAATGCTTGCCCTAAAAGACAGGACTTCTCTGTTTCTTTCCCCTCAGATTATTTACTGTTTTCATTGTTTCCCTCAGTCAAATGTTGTCAGGATTTATTTTCTCTGGAATCCATCCGTATTGTTTAAACGTCTCTACTAACAGTTAGCATGGGCAGGGATTGCTGTTTGAGGACAACAACTTCTGATGTAAACACCATTATCTTTGTACTGTATTATTATTTAACAGTGAATTGTATCAAGAGAAGCATTACTAAGTGTCCCAGGGATCCTTGGGATTAGAGACATGCCAATACATTTCTGCTGCAACAAAAGGCCCTTTGGGAAAGAGACATAGCTCACTATGGGAAAACTGTTGTTGGTCAGGAACAATAGTGCAAACTAAAGAATGGAAAGCTTAATGAGAGCCAGTGTAGTGTAGTGGTTAAGAGCGGTGGACTCATAATCTGGTGAACCGGGTTTGATTCCCCGCTCCTCCACATGCAGCTGCTGGGTGACCTTGGGCTAGTCATACTTCTCTGAAGTCTCTCAGCCCCACTCACCTCACAGAGTGTTTGTTGTGGGGGAGGAAGGTAAAAGGAGATTGTTAGCTGCTTTGAGACTCCTTAGGGTAGTGATAAAGCGGGATATCAAAGCCAAAACTCTTCTCTTCTCTTAATGCTTAAGAATAGTGGTGACTGAGCTGCAGTCCTCCAGATGTTGCTGAACTGTAACTCCTACCAGCCCCAGACAGCACAACTGTAGCCTCTCAACATCTGAATGCTTTAAATAGTGCATTGAAGTAGGAAAAATCTGAATTTCAAACAGTGATTTGCACAAGTAAATACTAAAGCACCCATTTTAATACAGTGCTAGAAGTCAGCTGATATAATGAAGTGAAAGCATGCTATCTGGATATATATTCTTTAGAACAAATATTTTGATTGTTTTTGATACGGAACATTTATCCTGAATGTAAGAAACAGGAAATGTATGGGTGGTTGTTGTTGTTTTTACAACAGCTGGATATGTATAGTTCATTTATTTAAATTCATGTATTTATTACATTTATTTATTATATATTGTATTATTAGACTGCCCCCAATAAGTTCTCAGGGTGGCCTACAAGGAATACAATCAAATTCATCATAAAATCATTTATATATTCAACGTAAAATCATTTATATGTCTCAGTTGGGAGAGCATGAGACTCTTAATCTCAGGGTTGTGGGTCCGAGCCCCACGTTAGGCAAAAGATTGCTGCAATGCAGGGGGTTGGAGCAGATGGTCCCATCCATCTCTACAATTCTATGTTGATTTAATTATTTAATTCAGAGTTCAGTTACACAAGAGCAACAATGCAGCCTCATGAGTTAAGGCAGGCATTACAAACAAACAAACAAAGCCTGCAACACACTTCTGAGGGAAGCTGTTCATCATGAGAAGTTTCTTTTGAGCTATGGAATATATTAGAAAGAGACTGTATTAGAATTTAAATGTTTAAACCCTCCCTGCCCCCATTTGCCTGTGTTCATTTCCAGTGGTTCCTCTCTATTTTCACTTGATACAATGTTAAGTAAGCCAGCGCAATCTCTGTGCTGTGCAGACCTAGAATGGGGTCAGGAATGCAGCAGGGAAGCTCATTCAAAGTGCTTGAAACTAGGGGCTTTTCCGTGCTTCACAGCAGGGAATCACAGTTACCAGTGTCATCTTACATCACCCAATAAGATTTCAAAGAGAAGGGAAAAAAGCTTTTCAAATCAAACTCCCACCCTAGGTCTTTTACTGCTAAACAAACAAAACCAAATAAAAAGACAAATTATATTTCCTAGCACTTACAGTAATAAATACGCTGTTCATGTTATGAACCACCTGGCAGAATAGTTTGTTGGCACGTCACCCTGCGGTTTCCTAAAGAAACACAGCAAAGATCATATGCCTTCGTTTGGAGAAGGATGGAGTTCCTTCTTGTACATTTCCACTTTGTACAACTCCTTCAAAGTAAGTGTGGGAGCTATTCATGCTTAGATTTACAGCAGCACCCATGGAGCAGATTAATAGTGTAATATTCACTCCATGAACCCAATGGGATTTACTTCTCAGTTGTTATTATTATACAGATTTATAGACCGCCTTACAGCATAAACCCATTGAAGCAGTGTACATGGTAAAACACAGAAACAAAAGCTACAAGTTCAATAAACTCTGAAACAATAAAGCCATCCACACAAACTCCAAATCAATTAAACAATTTAATCACACATAAAACTGATCTTCCACAAACGACTGGGTTACATCTCAGGGGAAAACATGTTTTCAGTAGGAGGAAGCACCAATGGAATTTTTACTTCTGAGTAAACAAGCATAGGCAATATCCAGTGATGTCCACCCACTTGCACAACAAGACTCATGGTTTCTCTTCTCTTGCCCTGCCCCCCCCCTCCCACCAGCCACACACAACCTCAGAAAAGGTCTGTCTGGCAGGAAAATTTCAGAAACCCCAGTGATGATTTACTCCAGCAACAACCATCTATTCTATGCCAACCCAAGGAGGTCTCCATCATCTTTCCACTCCCTGAAAGATGTTAATTCCCTTTACTTGCAAAATGCAACATGTGCTCTTATTGGCTGAAAGGAGCCAGTTGCCACTCAAACCAACATGTGGAGGGGAGGGAGAGCTTAATAATGGGCTGTGTTTTACAGTCTTTCCTCCCTCACATCAGGGTCCGTTTGGGCCCTCCCTACCATTGGGGTCCATCTCTGACCATCGGGAAATTCTGCACCAATGCCTTGTGAGCAGACCAAGCAGCCTGCTTGTCAGGAGCTAGGTCCGCATAGGTAGATCTGACTTAGAGAGCCCCAGTTATTTTTAACCTGCTTTCTCCATTTGGCCTCTGCTCCTCCCTTTTTTATTCTTAAGGAATCTTCTTATATTTGGCTGTTGGGGTTTGTGTGTGTTTGAAAAAACAAATACACGATTCCAGTAATCTCCCACTTGGTTGATTCATGCTAAAAGAGTGTAGGGTTGTAAAAGGCCATCAGGTTGCTCTGATCTATGGGGGAGACAACTGTGGGTGGGCATTACTCTCTGAGTGAGAGATGTGGTTGTGAAATGCAGAGTATACTGTCTCAGGGGCCCTAGTATTTTCTTCAGCACCCCAAATTCCCCCCCTGTTGGGGGTCGCTGCGGAAAGAGGGAGTGGTGGTGGCAGCTGCTACTGGGTAGCTAAGACATAACTGGTCTACCTTACAAGGCCGTTGTGCAGCTGTGGTGCAAGGAAGGGCATAAACAGAGGGTTGTAGCATTGTCTGCATTGTTATACTGAGCAATTTGAATGTGTAAGAGTCATCTCATGCCCTGAGCTTGCACCCTGCCTCTGTGTGTGTGTGTGTGTGTGTGTGTGTGTGTGTGTGTGTGAAATAGAAGCCAGAACCTCAAGGCCAAAGTTGCAAAGCCACCCAGTCTTAGTTTTACAAGCATGCCTCCCCTCACACTTTCCTCTCATTCTTCAAGCAGTGAAGAAACAGGGATACCAAAATAAAGCAGCATTCAAAAATGAACTTGTTGTATAAACGCTTCACAAATAAAACATGCCAGAATAAAACAGAATGCAATGAGAAAGAAAGAGAAAGCGAGGGAATGGAATGGAATGAATATTAAGCGGCTAATTAATGCTGCAGAAAAACATCCTTGGGAAGAAAAGTAACACTAGAAGTTCTATGAAACAAGAAAGAAATGGTTCTCTAAGTGTATTAATTAACGCTAAAGGTGCTTTCAGTGCTGTTCTGCTTTAAGCTGGAAGCAGAATAGTTCTCCTGCTTTCAGACTCCAAACACTCTGCAACTCAAGTGCTGGAGGAGTTGCTTTTCATTTGGGGAAAGGTTAAACAAATCCTTTACTCTCAACTGCCTTCCACATCATAATTGCCACCTTTGCTGCAGATATAAAGGCAATGCTATTTGGAAAGGAAAAAGTTAAAGTGATAGAGCTGGTTCCTAGAGAGGAGACGCAGGCCACAGAAAGCAAATATGCAGCAAACCATGCAAGCCATTATTAGCCAGGATAGCCATCTACAGCTATTCCAAACAAACAAACAAATAAATTCCTTCCAGTAGCACCTTAGAGACCAACTAAGTTTGTTATTGGTATGAGCTTTCGTGTGCATGCACACTTCTTCAGACAACAAGAAGAGGCGTGCGTTTTGTTCACAGATGTGTGCAAATGCTCTGCAAAAAGTGAGTGACCAAATCATGCCTATTCCATAGTAAATGTCCAGTGTGGAAGCAGCCTAAACCTCATCTCTTTCCACAGTATGCTAAAATACACATTCAATTTCCGGCAAGATTCTATCCATCAGATTTCATTTACACCACAATGGCCACAGGTTGTAAACCTGGAGGAAGTAACTTCAAAGAGATTATTTCAGTTGAATAACAACTGAATAACAACCGAATGTGCATTTCGAATTTTAAAGGCAAAGGTCACCTTTGGGTCTTTCTTTCTTTCTTTCTTTCTCTGAATTGTTAACAACATTTAAGGCAAAAATAACCTACCTTATGACGCAGGTGGTGCTGTGGTCTAAACCACAGAGCCTAGGGCTTGCCGATCAGAAGGTCGGTGGTTCGAATCCCTGCAACGGGGTGAGCTCCTGTTGTTCGGTCCCAGCTCCTGCCAACCTAGCAGTTCGAAAGCACATCAAAGTGCACGTGGATAAATAGGTACCACTCCAACAGGAAGGTAAATGACGTTTCCGTGCGCTGCTCTGGTTCGCCAGAAGCGGCTTAGTCATGCTGGCCACATGACACGGAAGCTGTACACCGGCTCCCTCGGTCAGTAAAGCGAGATGAGAGCTGCAACCCCAGAGTCGTTCATGACTGGATCTAATGGTCAGGGGTCCCTTTACCTTTTTATAACCTAGTCTTATAAACCACTGTATACACTGCTTTATGCAGAATTCAAGCACTGCTAGGTAAAGACTGTCTCAAGGCAAATCTTAAAAAATGCAGTATAAACACTGACAACTGGGAATCGCTGGCCTGTGAGAGCTCCAACTGGAGAACAGCCTTTACCAAAAGTGTCATGGGCTTTGAAGACACTCGAACTCAGGACGCAAGGGAGAAATGTGCTAAGAGGAAGGCACGCTTGGCAAATCCACACCGTGATCAACTCCTGCCCGAAAACCAATGTCCCCACTGTGGAAGGACGTGTGGATCCAGAATTGGCCTCCACAGTCACTTACGGACTCATTGTTAAAACTGTGTTTATAGAAGACAACCTTACACGGCTATGAGTGATCACCAAAGAAGAAGAAGAAGAATGATAGTACATAATCTGACCATTTGTAATGTGGCATTTTGCAATGAAAGAGGCACCCATACCACTTGTTCAGATCTTGCGAAGTCAAATTTGCTAATGGATTCTATTTCTGAACCGTATCTGCTAAGGAATAGTCCTCTCTTTCAGCCTCACAGCCTGTTTGCATTCTCAGCATAGTATGCTGTTGGTTTGTTTTCACCAATATTTTTTTTGTCAGGCTGCTTGCTATTTTTTTTATTAAAAGAAAGAAAGTGGCACTTTTTAACAACTTCTGAAAATCCAAAGGAGAAACATAAACAGGATTGTTCTAATAGCAATGCCTTTTGTGATCTCCAGTTACCAAGACAGAGAATATAAACAAGGTTTTAAAGCAGGAGCATGTTCTGCCGTTAGGGTACTTGAGGACAGATAGTGCCTCTGATAAGATCAGTGTATGTATATTAGTGTAAAGGCACGATTATTCATAAACTAATTCCAATGTAGTCAGAATAATAAAACTTGGCCAATTTGCAACAAAGGCTAAAAGAATCCTGGGGCCTTGTTGAAGTAAATGGCTGTGGTGTGATTCTATAGCAGTGCAAAACAAAGAAGCTTGACACGCTACCCCTTAAGGTGGCCACAGGGAAAAAAGAGGAAATTTCCTCATTTACATAGCAATTAAAGGTATTTTCCACCTGGCTACCTTAGGTCCTATTCTTGTCCACTTCATTCCACTGACTAGAGCAGGACTAGAGAAACGCAGTCAGATGGGTGGGGTACAATTATTAATTATTATTATTACTACTACTACCACCACCAGTACCACCACCAGGTAATTTGCAGACTTGGATTGCAGACAGGGCCTTTTTGAAAATACCTGTGATTCTTACCTCACTTCTCTCTCAGGTTTTTTTGACTGAAAGATAAGTGACTTTGCCCAGGGGCCTGTTCAGTGAGCTTTGTGGCTGAGCAAGGATTTTTATCTTCTTGTTGTGCAACCACGCCCAATACCTTCCTCACTGCAACACAGTGGCCATTTTGCTTGCTGGATAAACGGAATTCCTCAAATTCTTTTCCTGATAAAACACAACACACATATTCTTCAACTGTCCCTACTTAGTTACCCATGGCAGCCCCCTGTTGTGTAGCAAACATCCCTCTTATTTAATGTTCCTCTGTTGTCCCACTTTTGCTACTGAGGAGATTGGGGGGGGGGAATACTTTTTAAAAATGTCATTAGTATGTAAGCAGCAGTTCAGTTGTCATTCTTGAGGCTTTGGTTTCCTCCCACAGCTACTTAATGGAGCATGCAGAGGTTGAAGAGCCTTAAAATAGCATGTGTGGTGTGTCCTTTCTTGAGACTCTCTTCTTTGGAGTGGTGGCTTACACAGAAGTCAATAGATTTTAATGCTAATCTATTTCCATGCACTGAACATTCAACTTTTAAAAAATTGCTTCATAAAATAGGTGTCATAGCCAGCAATTGTTAACGGTTAGGTCTAATTCCCAATACACATTAACCAGTTTATGCAAACACAATTATTCGGTGTGTATTTTTTTTATTTAGTTATAAAAATATTTCTATACTGCTGTATCATAAAATATATTGGACATTATTACACATTAAAACATAAATTGCCATTAAAAAGAAAGATAATTATTAAAGTGACTGGCTAATAATAATAATAATAATGAATACCTGTGATTCCCGCATTACAAGAGGTTGGACCTTTAGGTTTCCCAGATTCGGATTCCGCCCACCAGAAACAGTGTCCGGGCCGAGGTCACTGAATGTCCAGGAATTTCCTGACGTATGGCAACCCATGTCAGAAGTGTAGGTTTTGACAAATTTCCTTAAAAATAGCTCAAAAACAACTTCTCCTCTTCCTCTTCCTCTTCTTCTTCTGATTTTGCCAAAAAGAAAAACCTTGAACAACTTTTGTGACCAGATTTTCACTTTTTGAAATATGGCAACCCTATATTGGATTATTTTCTAAAGTAGCTTAACATCTACAGCTTTTGCTAGATAAGTATCTTCCATAGTCAATCTTCCATAGCAAGACACATTTTGACCCTGTAGTCTTCCTCAGTGGCCAATCAACAAATCTGAACAAGCAACTTAGACATGAATCTAGAAGAAGCCCTTGGGTGAGGTAATCGTTTTAGATGCACTGCTATACCTAATTCCTTTCCTTTTAGAAGTTAAAGATGTAGGAGCACTTCCTTCAAACACCATACACCATCATGCTGAAACAAACTGCTACCACTGTCTTCATGCCTGCCTCCCTCAAGTTTCCCAGTGTGAGAAACACTTGCCCTGAGGTGATTTAAAGAAGCAAGCAGGAGCCATTTTGACAGGAAGTAAGCATGTCAGTAGTCTCCCAAGATTCATTTCTCGGCTCTGGGACGCAAGCTTCATTGCATTTATTGCTCCTCAGGTAGCTACCAAAAGGGAAAAACAAGTTAGCAAATCAAAAGCACTGAAACAGGAGTAAAATGGAATAAAAAAAACAATGGGCATGAGGGCAAAACTGAAAAAGATGGTTTGTGTGCATGACAGCAGGCCTTACACCTAACATTCCCATGCTATATACAGTATGGATAAGCCTTCCAGGGTGAATTTCCTGACCGTTACCTCAAAAGAAAGCAGCATAGCTGAAATATTTTATATTGTGATGCCAATAAAGGTATTTGATTTGATTTGATTTGACAGCAGCATATTCTGCTCAACAGGTGCTGGGATTCTGTGTTTACAGGGCCACGCAGTACCACAGTGACAAGCGAAGACATTGCAACTTTTTAAAAACATCCTTTCTAGATTGTGTATGCAGCTGGGCTGCCTGCTCCCTGTAGTGTCGCTTCAGCCATCACTGTCACCTTTGTACCCCCGCCCTTGCCACAGCCTCCCATTACACCCACACCTTGCATCCTGTTTTAACTTGCCATTTGAGGCCAAGGCTGTCACTTACTCTGTGTGTTTAGGCAAGTCTGCTCAGGGAGGCCCTGGCTTAACCCAAACCTCTTGGCATGGACAGAATTACATTTAAGAGATAACAGCAGGCAGCAAAGCACCTTCGCAATGAGAGAACAAGAGCAAGGCTAAGCCTGGTGTAAGGAAGGAGGGCAGTGGTTGGAGGAGAACCACGCGGAAGAGAGGGCAATATGGCATTTATCTGTTTGTTTAGCAGGGATTAAACCACAGCAGGCTAGAGCAGTGAAAGTATAGCATGGTGCACTAGGGGTGCAGCACATTTGCAAAGATAAGCAGGGCCCAGTATGGTTTCAAATTGGATGGGGGACCAAGTGCTGAGATTCCTGCATTGCAGGGGGATGCACTAAATGACTCTTAAAGGTAAAGGGACCCCTGACCATTAGGTCCAGTCGTGGGTTGCAGCGCTCATCTCGCTTTATTGGCCGAGGGAGCCGGCGTACAGCTTCTGGGTCATGTGGTCAGCATGACTAAGCCGCTTCTGGCGAACCAGAGCAGTGCACGGAAACGCCGTTTACCTTTCTGCCGGAGCAGTACCTATTTATCTACTTGCACTTTGACGTGCTTTCGAACTGCTAGGTTGGCAGGAGCTGGGACCGAGCAACGGGACCCCCTTAGGGTCTCTTCAAACTTTACTCTTCTGTGATTCTCTTATTCTAATCCTGAAAATATCATAGAATCAAAGAGTTGTAGAGTTAGAAGGGTCCGCAAGGGTCATCTAGTCCAATCCCATGTAGTGCAGGTATCTTTTGCCCAACATGGGGCTCAAACCCATGACTCTGAGATTAAGGAGTTTGGATTTGATATCCCGCTTTATCACTACCCGAAGGAGTCTCAAAGCGGCTAACATTCTCCTTTCCCTTCCTCCCCCACAACAAACACTCTGTGAGGTGAGTGGGGCTGAGAGACTTCAGAGAAGTGTGACTAGTCCAAGGTCACCCAGCAGCTGCATGTGGAGGAGCGGAGACGCGAATCCGGTTCACCAGATTACAAGACTACCGCTCTTAATCACTACACCACACTGGCTACAGCACACTACACCACAAAGCCTCACGGAGAGCTTTTCATGCTTCATAAAGGGATGTGGCTGATAACAGCAGATTAGGACATGCAGTTGGGCCCCTATCCTTGTTGTTGGGTCACTTAAATGGTCAACCAGCTGCATTCTCAGAGAAGCATCACTCCTGTGAGAGGGAGAACATCCAAACGATGCCACAGGAACAGAATTCAGGATGCAGTGCAACAGTTCATCCATGCATGAAAATCAGCAGCAGGTCATGCAAAAACAAACAAACAAAAAAACAACAGGGAGGGAGACAGTTTGCAGGACACAGACCAGTTCTTATGCTTTGAAGCAATAATGTGATTTCTACACACAGTTAAATAATAGCTGTCTTCCTTGCTATTTTCACTAAATCAGGCTTAGGTTTGTTATCTTCTTGCTCTATGGAATTCATTTCTGAGTTATGCAAGAGGCTTTAACCTAATCCCAAACAGTTTGGCTAGAGCGCAGATAACGACACGCTGATTGCACAAGTACAGGAGCAATTACAGGCAACAGCCTCATATAGAAACATCCAAAAGCAACTGACATTTCTAATAGGCAGACTCATTTACACCAGAGTGGTATGTTCAGTCCCAAACCTCCACATGATGTGATTTGCCCTTTAAGTGGTTCCGCTTCCATTATTAAGCCCCTGTATTAATTACATTAGCTACTTTCCCCACCACACCATTTGTAAATATACTGATTTGCATAATAATATAAGGATGCTATGACCTGGTGAATCATCAGCAAGCCTGTGTATACTTCCTATAATACCTGCATTACTCGATATATGATATCACCATTAAAAGATTCTGCATGCCCCCAAAAAATGGTTGACGATATAATCCAGGGTTTTCTGTGTCTTAATAAACCATCACCAGTGAAAAGGCCAACCACCCGTTAAGTACAACGTGATAGATCTAAATGTTCCAGTTTCTAAACTTCTCTGCAAGGAAAGTTAAAATGCCATGCACTACTTTTATGTAATAATCCTGTCCAATCAGAATTCAGGGACATGCATGAAAAGGCTCTTCCCATATTTGGGAACAGGCTTGCTTCATTCCATAAACCTGATATCATACTGACTACAATCACAGACTATACTTCAGATCTTTTACAAGAAGTCTTATCTGGGCACTGTTGTTGATTTTGTTAAGGATGCGAGAAACCAGGCTAGACTACTTTGCATTTTTACCTTTATCTTTATATTAAAACCAGAATAAAATTTCGTGGAAAACACAGTAATGGGTATAAACACATATACAAAATTTTTTTAACCTTCTGCTTCAAGGTCTTATTTTTTTCACTCACTCTATCATTTATTATTCCAGTTGGTAAACAGATTACAGGTGCTTGGTGTGATAATCTGATTTTATTATTATACCTTATTACCAGAAGAAGGGACTACAAAATTTTGATTATTCTCATTATTATATAACTGAAAATTAGCTATCCTTCCATTTTATCTAATAGAGATTTCTGGTTAGTTCCAAAACTTCCAGATTGGCATAATGATATACTTCTACATTAAGCCATGGACCTGTTCTGTATGATTGAGAAAGATAATTTATAGACTATAAATTATAGTTTAAAAAGTAAACATAACATTTAAAGCTAGCAGTTATCTACTTGAGGATCAGTTAAACATCTGCTGGGTGCAATTAATACCAGCTGGGTACTGTTGTTATACTATAGCAAATTTCTATCAACTCCAAGGTTAATTAAATTCTTGTAAATGATTATTATTATTATTTGGTCCCAATACTTTTAAATAAAATAATTTGAAAGGCTTGGAGTTGCCTGTTCTTTTTACCCCATACCACCTCCATCACCACCCATTCTTCCCCACAGAGTCATCCAAGTGGGGCTTTTAAGGTTCAGAGGTCCTGGATTCCCGTAGAAACTATAATTCCCTCAACCCTGGAAGCAGCAGAGCTTGGGCAGAGCTAATATGGCCTGGGGTGATGTAGAATTTGATCTATATCCAGACGGAATCTGCAATGCCTCCTTTGAAGTTCAGAGTAACTTGTCCAGACCTCCAAATCTGCCCCCAAATTCGCCGTTGAAGGTTTTCTGCATACTCTTGCAATAGCACAATGCACTACAGTCTCTTTACATCTCCCTCTTTCTTCGCAGTACAGGAGATTGTGCTGTTTTACAAAATCAACAAAGGCTCCTGATCCTATGCTCTGAAAAGCACTGCAAAGGATCATGTTATCAACCTTACAGAGTAATGGATGTATGTATGCTTTGAACGCAGAATAAAAATGTTTCTTAAAAAAACAGCTATGTTTCTTCCAATAGTGCAAACAGTCCAAGGATGCCTCCCAAAGCCAATGGTTAGGGCAACATGGTATCTATTGAAGATCTTCCTTTTTCAACAAGCCATTTAAGTGGATATACTTACCCTAATCTGCATCTGTATTGAGTTTGATTTCTCTCTCTTTCTCTCTCTCTCTCTCTCTCACACACACACACACACACACACACTTGTGTGGCGATGCCCCGGGGCCCAAAGCTCCCCTTAGATAATAAACACACAGACACAAATATTTTGAGTTAATGGGATAAATAAGGCCACAACTTTATTGGTTACAGATGTGAGCGGTTTGCCTTAGGCATTGGGTGAAACTGACTATATCATGACTCCTGCCCATCTGCAGGAAGTCTCTTAAGGGTCAACCACCGATAGGGGGTGCCCTATGATACACATCAATTAAGAGCACCCCAGGGTCCCCGATGGGGTTGTGGCCCACGCCCAGGCTTCGGACAGGATCCACACCCTCGGATCCCTTTATTGGGATACCCTTAATGAGGAGGGGCAGGCAGAGGCAAACATCCTCACTTCCCATGAGCCAGACTTACCCAATGCTTAACCTTACAAAGTTGTCATGATTGCTACAAGGTAGGCGAAAACCAAATGGCTGGTGCCAATCTGGCAAGTGGAAAAATTCCTACCTGGTCCCAACAATAAGGCGACCGACATTAGGCCATAGCGGGGCCAAAGTCAAGCAACGTATAAAAGAGCGCAGGTAGGCCAGGTGGTCTGACAAAGGAGGCAAATGGAGGCAGCCCCTCCCAGCAGCACCATGATTTAAACAGTAGCAGCCACGCCCCCTGGCTAACCTGATTGGTCAGCAGGGGACGTGATGCGGCTGGGAGTCCCGATGATGCGGGCAGCATCACTCTGCCCCCTGCCAGGTCACAGTGAGGTCCCAGATGCCAGTCCACAACTCCACCCCCCCCCGGGAAAGGGGAGTGGCTTTACTCTAATTGTTGATTTCTTCTTGTTAATCCCCTTGGGATGTTCCATGGGAAGCAAGCAAGCAAGCAGGCAGGCAAACAAACAGCATCTTTCCTGTTCTCTCACCCCATTTCCTTAAAAAAACAACCCCAGACTGAAGAAGTTTGTGTTTCCATAATTTTGGAGATTATTGCATCCAAACAGAAGGCATAACTACTGTCTGCTTCATCAGAAGTGTAAATGCAGAGATATATATATATATAGATATATAGATAGATACACACACACACACACACACACACACACACACACAGACAGGGTTTTTTTGCTCCATTTGTATATTTCTGCAGAGAACTTTCCAATGTAAGATGATTTGGAAGCCATCTTTAGAAGCTACTAATGCTAATTATATTCAAAGTAGGCAGGGTGACTAATCAGTTAATCAGTCTATGAAATTAGATTTTGCTGGTACATATTATAACTAGAGAAAGTCACATTTCATTAGAGTTTAAGAGTTACAGTAATTGAATATTTCTCACTCGAAGGACAGCTTTGAAAAATGAACGAAACTCTTTATGTGCTTTTGTTCAAATGTTGCTGTTTAGATTGTCACATGCTGCTGTTCTTACCTTGAACTCAAATTACTTTTCAATCCTCCAAAGTAGTATTTATTTCATGTGGTATTTTTTTTTAAGCCTACTACTTCTTTTATTAAAAACAGAGATGTGAGATGTGTGAAGATAAACTAAGAAGACATCTGCTGGATCAGGTCAAGAGTCCATGTTCTCACGGTGGCCAACCAGACGCCCACAAGCAAGGCCTGGGTGCAACAATGCTCTCCCCCACTTGCGCTTCCCTGTAGCTGGTATTCAGAAGTACATCTGGTGCAGTACATCTGTTTCAGAGTCTTAAGTGGATTCTGCCTCTGCATTTCATTGAAGACACAGAGGGCTTAATTTGTGCCCCAGTCCACCAGGACTAAGTCCAGCCAATGTTTTCAGTTGTAGGACTCAAGATCCCAGAGGGTTGGGAAATCTGTGGCCATCCAGATGTTGTTGAGCTCCACATCCCACCAGTCCTGTTGATCAGCATGGTCAACAATCAGGGATGATGGGAATTGCAGTCCAGCAACATCTGGAGAGCCACAGTTTCCCTACCCTGGATATGAAAAGACAATAGGTAATGAAAGTGACTCTGAGCACAATCTGACTTCCTTTCCCACACTACTGAGTAAAAAAAGCTAGTCATATTTCTGTGTAGATCATTGCACGATCGTTGCAGGAGCTCTGGCTTCTCTGCGGCTAGAAATTAAGCACTGAAGAGGACAGAGCAGGAAATGCTTTTCTATGTCAGACTGTTGCAGATCTGTGCTCTCTCTCTCTCTGTGAACTTTGGACCACAAGTCAGAGCATGA